ACCAGCTGATGGTAATAGCTTTTGACTGTACGGCGCGGTGGCTGGGCATTCGGCTACCGTGTAACGTAAAAAGATATTATTTTGGTTGATTAGGTACTAAAACTTGCACTAATTTATTTATTTATTAAATTAGGATCTCAATATTTATTCAACAGGAAATACACTTAGGACACACAAGTAACTTGACAAAAATTAAAAACTATGTGCTTTCTCGATTACTAATATCATGAATTATTTACACTACCACTTCTGTTTACCCATCTTGAAGTAACAATCTTGAGGTTATGACCTTATTTAATAAAATAGAGAGATTAAAGTTTTATTTACAAATTCAAAGCTGCCTTTATAAACTACGACCTTCAAAAGCTTAATAATTTAGTCGTAACGGAAAACGTTTAAAAAAGTTGATTACTTCATTAAAACTCTCCAAAGAACTTACGTTAAAAAATGAGTTATGATTCTTTCATATTATTTGGACTAGTTTACTTTAACACTAGCTTTTTGACCGCGACTTCACTCGCTTAACTAAAGAAAAATATGTAGACCTTATAATCTCCAGTGTCCTAACTATCTCCATATATAAAAATCATGAAAACATTATTTTGCGACGAAGAAGAAAGACGACCAAACAAACTTACATTCATATTTAATATCACAGTAAATTCATAGCAACTTGCATCAATTATAAAAGAAGTAGTTAGGTAGCAACTTCCCTATCTGAAACCATGAAAGACATATAATATTTCAGCAGCTTTGTGGAGCAGAAAGTCCTTTTTAAAATGATCGTTGTATTTAAAAATTAGAACGTATCAAATTTATGGTTCTTTGTCGATTGATTGAGTACTCAGTTGCTAGTGTGTTTTGGCGACTGGTTACTACCGTTCTTAAACATGCTGCGAGTTTTGTTTATTATCGCCCAAAAAATGTGATTCTGGATTTGGATATGTGTTTTTTTTTAAGGGGGAACATCATCGAATGACTTCTCCCGCCTGGGTGAGGCGGGAGGGAGTGTCAGACTCTTACTGACTAAAAACCACCCGGTTTCTACTCCTGCCTTTCGAGCCGGAGCCCCGGCTACCCGTTAAGTCCTCCGTCTTTGTTTTTGTAAAAATACATCACAGAAAAAATCAACACATAAAAAAATTCAGCCGCGTGAAATGTTTGGTCCTATAGTCGAATAAAACAACATTGGGCTGTTTAGTTTATGTCAACTACTTCTATAAATCTTTACACTTAAACCTCATCACATTTGCTAAGAATGCTTAAACTATCCTTTGAACATAAACAATGATCAGAAGCGAAATGACTCAATCAAACAATCGTCCAGGCAATTAGATAATGTTAATGAACGAGCCTCGAGTGCGGACCGGAGGGTAACTGGGGTAACATACGGACTACGGGGGATACAAGAGTAAGGGGTAAGGTATTAATGAACTCGCACGCAAACTCGTTACTCTCCTCACGATTGGTAACGACATTAAACGCTTTTATTAAGTTGTCCAGCTCTTTTAATTTTAATTTTTCATATCTTTTACTGTTCTATGGGCACCTAGTTATAGAAAAGTGGTTTTAGTAGGTGCAATTATGTTATCTAAGTTGACAGTCAAGTAAAAGGTTTGCTACAAAATTATTAAGGTACCTACAATGAAACAATTAAGTAAGTGATAGTCGAATTACGCATTTTGACAATGGCGTAGATTACCCAGATTAAGTTATAAAGCAAATAAATAATTTTAATTAGGTTCCATTGGTCATTCATTACAAAGGTTTGAATTAAGATATTGCTAAATTAATTTCACGCTTATCATTCATAGTAATCTCATAAAGATACCATGATTTTTACTTCATTTTCCTCATCGATTATCCACTCGAACAATTATCTATTGCCTGCCTACAGTTCAAAGAATAGAATAACAGTTCAAACGAAACTGAACAAAAAGAATTCATCTTTATACAAGACAATAATTCCACAACTAGGTACCTATCACCAAAGATTACGCACGATCAAGCAATTAGTCGTACCAATTCGCCTAATCCTAATTCAAGTAAAATACAGACAAAACCTACTTAATTGTTGGTAAAAGCTCGATAAATCCACCATTTACTGAATAACATGGTATCCTATATCACAATAGTGTTTTCTGTCTTTCACGACCCAATTAAGGATAATAGGACATGACTGGGTAACGAATGAAGACACCTGACACCAGACACACACATTTCCACAGTTTTATGACCTTCCTTGAAGTATCAAGGACGAATGGTTAGTTTTTTTTATGGGACGAGCAGACGAATCGCCTATGGTAATCAATTGGCGCCGCCCATGGGCACCCGAAACACCAAAGGTGTTGCAAGTGCGTTACCGGCCTTTTAGGGATTAGGAATTTGAGGGTTGTTGGAAAGAATTGTGAGATTATGTCGTGTTTGTGAGTTTGCGTATTTGTGTATATTTTTGTTACTCAGTTTCTTCAAAACGGCCAAAGAGACCGGGATGATATTTGGAACAGGGGTAGATTATAATCTGCACTAATACTTAGGCTATTTTTTACCCCCGGGAACGCGAGTGAAGCCGCTCGCAGAAGCTAGCTTATTAATAAAATAATGTATCTATTCGCTGAAAGGCCAAATCGATGGCTGAAAACTTGATAATATATTTCCATTTTCACAAACAAACATTATCGAGTTAATGTTATTAAAATACCAAATTAATTTAAGCGATCAATACCTACCAATGAGGCCTATATGTTTTATTTCATATAATGTGAAATAGGTAAATGATATTGATATTATATATGCAAATGTGCACTTATGTGTTCCACAACTCAAAATAAAACTCAATTAACAAATATACACTTTTATATTTTTGTTTTTACACTCAGTCTTACAACATAGGTACCTACTACATTACTACAATAATACTAACACTGCTATAATCTTATTGAAAACCTATAAAATGTACATAACTGGGATAAATTCCGTCATAAACAGCACTTATCTGTATGAGTTATAGTTATAAGAATGGGAGCTCGCCTTTGAAAAATTTGGAGTGGGCTCGGGCAATGGTGAAGGACATTCCTCCCACAACCACCAAATGGTTACCAGCACTTCAAGATTGATCAACATCAATGATATCATAGGGATAGACATCTTACTAATCAATGCTTTAATACCTCCTTTCGCCTTCATAAGTGGTTTAATAATTCCTTCCACAATCCCGCCCTGCAGTCCACTCATGTTCCATCCGGAAGAGCCACCGAAAAGTGAAAATACTAAGTTGAGCAAACCACTCAGATTTCCAGACCCATTTCCATTTGAACTGGCTGGTGATAAAACGCTGGATAAATTTAACAGCGACGTTTTCGGTTGAGCTGTTGACGGCGGTGTGTGTGGAACAAGTGACGCACCTTCGTGATAGTTTGCAGGAGGTGCGTACTCTGGCCTGTATCCCACTGGTCGAGGTAGCGTAGGATAGGCTGAACTATCGTCTCGTCCAGCTGTTGCAGGAGGCCGAAGTCCTTTTAATTCTTGCATCGAAAGCTGCGACTGACGCGATTCTTCATTTAGAGCTCCCATGAATTCTCCAAACGTCAAGTTCTGGTTGCTTCGAGTCTCCGCCATAGGAATTTGCGAGTTCCGTTTGTGATTGACGACATTATTGAACCCATGCTGTTGTGGTACACTTGCCTGAAAATGTGGCTGATACTGTACTGGCGGGTTCGTCAAATATGGATCCACAGCCCGCATCTCGAACGGAGGCATTAACATTACATTGTCACCCGGATATGCATAAATTAATCGAACTGAATATAATACGAACAACGATAATATGCTATGCACTTGACTCATTGTGACTAAGTTATCAAAACAAATATGTACAATTACCTAAACACACTTACTTATAAATTAGTGAAACATCGATAAATTGCAAGTTGGCAGTTCATGTTAGCCGCACAATATCTGGGTCACGATGTGAATGAAGCAACTGCATTGTCCTACATACTTGAATGTTAGTAAACATTAAGATGTCAGCTAATATCGATTCCGGAACTACAGTCCAGAGACATGCACTGAGCTATTTTATCGTCAGATAGAATACTAAGCATGCTTTTGGCAAGAGAACTATCTTCTTCTAGGTCGTCAATTAAAAAGAACGTTGCTGTTGCACCTATGTAGTTAGCCCAAGTACTTGATGCCGACCTTTGAATGATACAAGCCATCCTCTGTGAACAATCCGTGATTATTCGAGACTTATGACCTTTCTTCTTTTTCTTTTTGAAATATTTCATCATTTTCGATATCATTGGCCAGAGCAGGAACGCCTTGAATCCAATTTTAACAAACAACAGGAACACAACTGGTAACAGCAGCAGTTTTCCTACGATCACTTTTAGAAATGCAATGAGCGCAGCTGAGAACATAATTTTACCGACACTACCGAGAATATTTGCAAAAGTTGATAATGTATCGGATTTAGGACACGACACATAGTGCGGTGGGTCAGAGTACGTCTTTCGTATGGGCTCTGAGTAAAAGTTAGATGCACCGGTAAACAAGTCCATAAACGGCATGGGTGGTGAATTAGATGGAGACACCGTGCTCAAAGATTGATCTTGAGCACAAGTTCGCGACGCGACGACAAAAACAACGAGTAGCACAAACATAGCTCACAAACTGTTCCGCTTCAAATAACTCCTCTAGTTTAAAACCTCGCCCATGAAATTTGAATTTCAAGATATAATACGCGGGAACAGATAATTATCTCTGTGTAATTTAAAGCAACGGTACAAGGGTCAGGTCATTTAATTTTTAGAGCAAGCAATGAAAGTGTTTTGTGTGATTGTTACGTTTACGACAAAATGAAATAAATGTTAAGTGAGTTTATTAACAGTAAAACCTTGTTCTTCATTTATTTTTAAATAGCTATAAGTATTTAATTATTGATTACTTTTGAAATAAGCTCATTATTTTTTTTTATTTCACTAGACTGTTTAGTTATCGTCCTTTGCTTACTCTGAAATATTTGTGGTGCATTTGGCGGGAAACTTATGACATGACACAGCAGGCAAGCAAAGCCACAGTGTCAAAAAATATGTAACATCCAGTTGGTCGCGAGCCAAGTTAAATAAATATAGGTATATTTTGTAAATAATATAACCGTGTAAATTTAATACGCATAAATGGTGATCGTAACAAGAAGTGCATATAAAAGAGCCTGTGAGAGCTGTGATAGCAGCGACGTCTCTCAGAAAAATATTATTCCGCCATGGTGTTCGTCAGGTAAGAAGCAATACAAATTGTTGATATTACTTTACAATCATTTTCCTTTCTGCTTTGCTTCGATAAATTATTAAATAGCTAAATAAAAATGTTTCATCAATAGATAGTAGGTACATATTATTATTTTTTTAAAGAAAATAATGGACACAGTCACACAGATAATAAAGAAATCATATTATGCATAGATAACAAAAATAAATTTAAATCTGTTGCCACAGATAAAAAACAAGTTAAAGACTTCATAAAATTTAGAATTTAAACATTTAGGTAGGTAAATCTTTGTTTAATCTACCCAGGCTTTTACTGCCAGTAATGAATACGATCATTAAACGAGGCAGTAGGTACAATGTTGTTTTTACTTTATAGTTCTAAAACAGAGACTATTTAGTTTTATGAATTATTCAACCAAGAATTTATTCAAGCAACATCAGTCTAGAATAGAAAGTAGCCTAGCAGTAAATGCGTAAATTATAAATAAGTACAGAGTAGGCACAGTGGCGTGCACAAGGGCGAGCGTGGGGGTCATGAATTAACAAGATAGCTTCAAATCTATACATTATTTATATTGCCAGAATTTTCTTATGAATGGAATCAAATTTATGTTACTTATTTTTTTACTAAGTCTTTAATAATACTTTTACTTTGAGAAAAATTAATAAAGTAAACAAGACTGAAAACTCAACTGGGTAGCTTTTACGATACGTAGGTACTTAAGCACTTAGGCACTTACAGTCAAAATACAGTCTCTTGAAACATCGACTGTGGCACCTGCAGCTGTAGCTGTAGCCAGATTCCATTTAGCGCTTGTCTACATGTAGAATAGAAAACCAAATTATATGGAATCAGTAAAATAAGAATAAATTTTGACACTTGTCAGTGTCATCCCATACATTAATTTTCTACTCCCTCAGTAGAGGCACTAGTTACTTTACTACACACAGAACATGCACACATAGCCACAAAGGACACCTGTCATTTTCTTAGGTCTAGTAAAATGGTAACCCATTACACATGCACACATAAATAACCTAGTGACATAGGTATTAGTACTTCAATCATTTCTATGTGACAAAACGTCCGATTTTTTTCAACGTACTTGCTTAGGTAGATATGATGCATTAGACCTCACAGTACTTATGTCGAAATACTGAAACGCTACTCAATTTTAAGTCGTGCTTAAGTATAGTTTTATCTCTACAAATTCTTTGTAAAATGACAGAGATGGCACGATATTTGAGCACGACTTAAAATTGAGTAACGTTTCAGTATTCCGGCATTAGTATTTTTTAAACTGAGTGGTTGACGTTTGGCCAGCATCTGCAGCAATGATGGATAATAGATACCTAAAAAATGAAGACTATTCCTTTTTACTCTATAAATTGTAAATTAGTATTTTTTTATAAAATGTATGCTGTTAGAAATAAACGTTAAGTGATTTTATAAGTAGTAATATAGGTAGTTCCTTTATAATACCGACCGAATAATTTTTAATAGACCGATAATTACAAATTGTATCACGTAGAGCTTGTTGTGTTCTTGAATAGCCAATAAGAAATTTCCCCGAGGTATTACCTCCGTGACCTTTGAAATCGACGAATATAATTTGAAGTTCAATATTCACGCTCATTTAGTTACTGGAGCATTCACAATTACAACGGTGAAAGTCCAATCAAATATTGATTCAATGAGAAAATTAAAATATGTAGGTACAAAGTTATTATAAAGTTGATTGCTTCGTAGACCGTATCGAATAAGTCGCAGATTCGAGGTTTGGTGCTCAATAACGTACAGAGTCAGGCCATTATTAGGAATTTTAAGTTTCAAAAACTCTTGACAACAAAGCTATTCTATTTTACCGCCAGGTCAGCACATGGCTTTGGTATTAGATAAGGCAATAGCAGATGAATATGGTACCTAATAGCACCTTAGCCTACCATTTCGGAGATGATGCTTTGTTCTAACTTCGATATTTGGATAAATTAGAGAACGTTCTACAAACGTGTTAAACAATAAGCACATAACCACAAGGTCATTCATTACGGACAAATACCAAAGAAAAATACCAATAACTGAACGCTTCAATTTCCACGAATATAGGTCCTGCGTAGGTAGACAAGCTTAATGAAAATTCGTATTTACCTATGACCTACATTTTAATTTAGCCCAAGGCTAATAAAATCAAAGGTTGATTTATACGAATCTGTACAAACCACATTTTTGTTTGTATAGGCCAAATAGATAGACTAATATAAACACGTACATCACTAGTGGGCAAGATTGTAGATATTTGTTACCTAATGTTATTAAATTACTTACCTACATAGAAATAATGATGAAATTACATAAACAGTGTGAGTTTTTTATTAGAATTATAGGGCAAACGAACTGACGACGACGCCTATATGAACACCCGTAAGATACAAAAGTCGATAATCTAGTACGTTGCCACTGCCAGTCTTACAAAAAGGAGTACGCTCTTTTCTTGATAACTTTTTCTTATATAATTTTTGAAGGGGGTGGGGGGCGGGGCAATTATCCAATGACTCCTCTCGCATTGGGTAAGGCGAAAAAAAATGTCAAACTCTTACTGGCTAAAAACCACCTCGTTCCTACTCCTGCTCTTCGAGCCGGAGCCCCGACAACTCATTAAGTCCTCCGCGGTTCTATGTCGGCATCAGGTCTGCTGGGCCCTTCTTGATAGTTTGAAGATCGTATTGGTTCTGAAATACTGTTTTGTAGCTGAATGACTTCACCATCTTGGTCGGTTTCTTGGATAATTGGGTACAGATGTAATTCTCAAACAGAACTTTAATGCCTACCTAAGCTTTAAAGCAATATTTTGAATGTTTTATGGAGACCAAAAGGACGTAGGTATTTCAAATGCTAATAAAAATTAGTAAAATAAGAATAAAACAACACTTAAGTTATTTTTAAATCCCCAACGTCCATGACTCTTCAAAGTTTATTGTTCATTAACTGAGCTCCGCTGTGTGCCTAACCTAAAAAGAAAATAAGTTCGGGTGAAATTCACTTCCAAAGTCGATTAATTAATATATTTATCGGTTTATCCGTCTATCCGCCCGATATTCTGAGCAGTAAATAAAACTGACAACTCTTTTAAAACGAACTTAAGCTCAGTTTAAACTCTGTCTAGGTTTTACTCTGTTGAAGTTTGCATACTTATGTCTTGTCTTGCCTGTCTTGAACTCAATAGCTTATAGAATATTCTAGAAAAACTGGGTACCGGAAAGGTAATAGGGACAACGAACTTAAAAACATAAGATGCCCAACCAAATGTCCTGCCTACGCAAGTAAAAATTTGCAAGATTTATTACATTAGGTAAAAAAGACAGCTCGCTTCCGAGGTCTGAGCAAAAAGTTTATGTTTTATTAAATAAAGTAAATAGAAGGAAAAAAGAGCAATGACCAGTAGATTTCTTCCTAAAAACAGGTACCGACAGCCTACGGAAGGTACGTTTAAAGTATATCTCTAGTTACATACAAAGGTATCCAAAATCTATCCTGATCGTGATAATATAGTGCCAAAATTATTAAAGACAAAATTGAACAAAATTGGATAGGTAGAATTTGATCTAGTCATCGTGTTAGTTTTAAAGCACGTACACACGTGCTCTCATGAACGGTTGTTTTGTTCCACGAGGATCACTAAGCGGCACCAAATTTTTTGCCATATGAACTGGGCCCAAGGGTGACCGCAGGCACGTACATACGTAACCCCTTTTAACTGAACACATTTTAGTCTGCTCTGTTGAACTACACATACCTATATAAACACAATATTGTATGAAACAATGTGGTTTTTTATGGTTTGTGCAACCCCAAGTTGACCTAAATGCCCAACAAAATTGAACTCATTTTCAGGAGATTTTTCCTGTTTCATTATTATTTTCTTGTTTTCACAGCATTTCGTTTGTGTTTGTTTGAGCAAAAATTATACGTATGTAGGCAGGTAGATAAGTATCCCGTTCCACGAAAATGTTCGTTAAATAACTTTATTTATTTATGTTCGTATAATTATTACTATCTAATTATTATTGATTATTATAACTAAACATTACAAAAAGCTTCATAGCTAAATTCCTAGTTAACACATTTTAGTTACAGTTCCTAAGTAACTAGGTAGGTATAGGTACACACATAATATACAAAGAAAATGTTCTACTCGGGACTAATTACAAAATTGTATTAAACTATGTTGAAGTGGTTAATTAAATAATTTTATAGGTATTATTAGAGAGAAGCAGGTAAGTAACACGCAATCCAATATAACATTAAGTTTCCTAACGTAACGATAGGTTATAATCATTAACTCGTCGAGTACCGGTTTTATAGACACAATTAAAGAACAATGGGTCGCGGTCACCGGTGACCGCTTGGTGTTTGACAGTTTAAAATAGGATTATGTTTTATCATTTTTAATTTCTTGAATCTTGGTTTTTATAACGCTTTAATAAGATGCTGTTGACACCAAGTAGATGCCTCAACCTGCAAAGATATAGCTACCTAAATTATGTTACCTACTTTAAAAACTACAATAACAAAACACGCTACATAAATTAACCTCAAAACAGTAGGTACTACAAAGATAAAGTAAAACAAAACAATGAAACTTTTCCTTTGAATACTCAACTAATGAAGTTCGTATTACTATAATCAGTGCTATCCAAAAACAGATTTGGCTCGTCCGATTTCACTTCGTAATGCAATTGGAGCGTGCCACCTGCCTCGCCGACCAAACCCGGCTTGCACTAAATATCAGATGAATTATCTTTTACTGTCTAATTAAAGCCACTTTGGCTTCAAAACTGTTTAATTCGAGATATAAAAACGTCACTTAAGAGAGTTTTAAAGCTTTGAGAGTTGTGCAGTGTAGGAGTTTGTTTTACTAACATAAATTAAAAGATTTTTATAATATTTTATACAACTTCATAGGGAAATGAAAAAACTAGATACACTGTTTACATTTATTCATTGAAAATAGCAAAATAAAAAGCTTAGACTAATATAAACCCAGTCGCGGAGAACCTAACGGGTACCGGGGCTCCGGCTCGACGTGCAGGAGAAGGAACGGGGTGGTTTTTAGTCAGTAAGAGTCTGACACTCCCTTCCGCCTCACCCAGGCGGGAGCAGCCATTCGATGATTTTCCCCCCTTAAAAAAAAAAAAGAAAAAGCCTAATATAAACCCATATGTTTACCTACCTACCTATGCAAGTATAACATAGATAAGAAATAATGTTACCCCGACCAGTTTTAAGTAGATAACTACTTTCCTCTTTCTTATAAAAGAACATTCTAAAAAAGATAAACCTGGAACTAGACTGCCCTGTCAGCACAAATTGCAAAAGCCAACGAAACGAAATAGGTCGCCATGGCGCTTCCAGCCTTACAGATATAAAACTTATAGGTATGTTAGCTTGAAATCAAATTGAGAACTTTTTAGAATAACATCGTAGGCAGATACTAAAATTATTCTTATAGCCTACTTAGGCACTTCCATTAATAACCATTCGTCATCATCGTAGTCTTCTTTTACTTACGCAAAGTTATTTGTGGGCGAACCTTTGCCTTCTTCTCTCCTACGGCAAACATCATCCTAACAGGCTATCACTCCTATGAATAGACCTCTTAAAGGTCTAAAATTACATGCAAAACATATCCGTTTGGGAATTAATCAAGTGGAATAAGCGATTAAAATAAAACCTTCACTTACGTAGCTTGAGGGCAAAGTTATGGGCAAAAGTTCCCAGGGGAACTCCACAGCGATGGTCGTCATGTGATATCCCATACGTGAATGTCAGATTAATGTATAAGGAAAGTTTTGATTAGGCTGCGGGTTAACACGAAATGGGTCACCCATAATATATGATGGAACATTCACAATCATCTCATGGTCACTTCTGGATCCCATAAAATATAACCATAACATGTGGGTGTACCGAATAAGTACTCATATACGCTTACTACAAGGTTATTATTTCATAAACAAATATTTGATAAGCAATAACAATGGGACTTTAACCAATCTTGGTATGCAAGTACAAGTATATTAAGGTTGCAAAGTTTTGTCTAGTTGGTCCTATTTTTATTCTACACGTTCGCCCTATTTTGTAGGTACTGATGTTAGCAGCTAGACTTCATGACCTAACCACACCCGCTCCTTTACAGCTGCAATCGTAAAATAAGCAATGAAATAGCACCGAATAGATCACTACACTACACTATAAAAGCAACCGCTATCAACGTATTAGTAAATGTCAGCCCAATATGTTTTATACTATCGTAACCACCTACGCGCAATTCTCCTTACAAAGAAGAAAATGTAGAAAATCTCGTGAAACAACCAAAATAATTTTATTCAGATCCATTTATGTAGTCTACGTATCATTGACGAGTTCGTCCATCGAATCCTAATCAAACTAAGTCTGTATCGTACGTGCCGATTGCCGAAAATGCGCGCTTATTACGTTAATTAGTTGTGTAATTCATCCCGATAGTAATTATCAAGAGTGCTTTCTGTCTCCCAACTTGTGGACGCGTCCCAAAACATGGACATCAGACGTCCTAATTGTCCTTCATCAATTTAGCCTTTTAACAAATAATATAGATCGACTTTAACCAGAAGCGTCCTCGCTAAGCCCGGGATGACCCCATTAGCATTAATCCAACCAAAATGAACCTAACAATTTGTTAAATTGATTACTTCTCTAAGCAATATGTAGATAGCTTACTTAGGACTTTTGATTCAAGGGCATACTTTGTTTAGAAACGTTGCATTACTTCGGGTGGAATTGTTTATACATTACCACAGACGTAATGTGACAACAATTGCATACAAATCAAAAACACGGTGACCTAGTTACACCGGTCCATTTAACTTACATTTCCGCAGGAAAAGTTTACGAAAGAAGCAAATCTAAGAAACTTGCGACGCCGAAGTGGGAGATGCGATCCACGTATCCGTTACGGACAAACATCTGGGAATATCTGTATGAAGATAACGTCGAACAAAAGTTCAGTTGCAGCAATAAAAGGAGACATAGGAAATGTAAACAAAAGTCGGTCGAAAGCGATTCTTGTTGGAAAACAGCTGTCTGGATGATTTTGATACTTTGCGCTTTGGGAATCTCTGGTTAGTACTGAAATTATATTGTTTTTAAATAAAGTTGGTCATACTAGAATTTTCTTGCGAGTCGTACCTATCTGTGCATTTCTAAAGACATTTTCCACATGAACCTCTCACTCAAACCGGAACATAATTATCTACCTAGAGTCGTAACTCTATTACTCTACTATACTTCGTAGCTGATTTGCAAAAATGGGGCTGCCTTAAAAAAAATCTCAAAAACTCCCCAGAAAAGAGAACCGATAAACTTTTTTGTAGGTAATACATTATCAGCTTCTAAAAGCCGAGTCGCCACTAAAATAACGCGATAAAAACACTAAAAGTCTGGAAATGAAACCAGGTTATTTACACTAATTGCTTCTATTTTACTTACCACGAACAAAAACTGTTGTAATCTATGAATTAGTTTTTCTTTACATATTTTAAGACGTAATTGGGTAATCTTTGTATTCTTCCAAATAATCTAAAAAGGTATAGCAATTGTGTTTAATTAACGTTAACGTTTGTACACCTGTGTATAATTTGTAACCTAAGAAAGTAACCGCCTCGTTTGCCTAATGGTCGCAGACGGTATCCCTAAACTATTGTAATCTAGTATTTATTCGGAATATTATAACTATTACCATCCGGTTGTTGTAAGGGTCCCATGAATGACAATACTATCATAAGATCCTAGATTCAGCGAATATCACTTTTTTGAGGGGGAAAATCATCCAATTACTTCCCTCTCGCCTCACCTGAGCGAGAGAAGTGTCAGACTCTTACTGACTAAAAACCACCCCGTTCTTACTCCTGCACTTTGAGCCAGAACCCGGGCAACCCGCTAAGTCCTCCGCGGCTCCGTCAGCAAATACCACTAGATTTATCAACGGAAATTGTCACGTCTATCGATATAAGTCGCTTCAGACAGGTCTATCTCAAAGTCTTACGAGGAGGCCTATGTTTAGCAGTATCCTATGACTTATTTGATGACAATAATAAATACTTCCGAATACCCCTTACTATTCCATAATCCCAAGAAAATAGCAAGAAAAATTACATAAGATATATCATAAGTATTATAACTCGGTTTCAGTATCTGTGTGGAGTACTAACGCGAGTCGCGAAGACTTGACACCTAAGGCCAGGATAACATCATTACGTGAGTAGCTAAGTAATTGTGTTCCTTACGATGTTTAAGTCAATTACATAGAGTCCCACAAGGCCTTTATAAGTGCGCTGTTAGTGTGACATAATTATATTCTGCTTTTAAGAGATAAGTATGTGCCTAGGCATATATGCAGTGTAGTGCTTTATGTCTCAGGTATATCATGTTAACTTTATATCAGAGCTTGGGAAGTAGCGTTTACTAGGTTAAAAAGGTGTTATTTTTAATTAAGAGTACTTTTAACTTAACCGACGAGCATGCATGAAAAGACTGATGACTGTTGATGAAATAAGTATGTAAAAATCATAGCAATTGGCGTTCCATAGTCTCTGCCTACCCCCACGGTAGATAGGTGTGAGGTTATGTATGTATTTTTAATTTTAGACTTTATGGACGAATTTTCACTCCAACTTTTCATAACTAGAACATTTTAGACTGTACGGTTGGCGCGGTGGCTGGGCAACCGACTGCCGAGCAGCGTGTAGCGGTTTCGATTTCCGCACGGAACAACACTTTGTGTTATGCACAAATTGTTGTTTCGGGTCTAGGTGTCATGTGAATGTGAACTTGTATGACATGTTTGTAAACACACCCACGACACAGGAGAAAATCCTAATGTAGGGCAATGTTTTAAAAAAATTAATAAATATATAACTGCCTATACATATTTTGTTTGCCTACACTAGTGTAATAAAACGATATAAAAATGTTTTCGTTACTCGATCATAAAACAAAACGAGCAAAGTATGTAGGTGACAATAGGCTTTCAGATCGACCTTAACCTAGATTAACGCGTAAAGATTTCTTACCGGAAGCGCAATCAAATGTCACGTTTAACTAACATAATCATAACATAATAAAATAATGCAAAATTACGTATTCAGCACCTAATAGAATAACCTACTTCAACAATATTTGCAATATTATTACACGTAAAATATCCTATGTAAATGGCCTTCCATTAAAATTGCTAGCCGCTACCATCCATCAAGTTTTATCAGCAATTAATGCAGTTATAAAAGTTTTTAATTATGTCGCCCTACTACGAGCAGCCATGCGCATTAACTATGGGAGCATCGTGGACTGTTTATTACTTGTATGAAACTAAAACAGGTCAGTTTGATTTCAAAAAATCTTGAACGCATCCATTATTGAATAAGATTTTAACTGTATCTTCTTATAACTTCCTGGGCGCTCTATATATCATATGTCCTACTAAGTTTTAAATCCTGAAGACACCAAAACTGAGTCCCAATATATGAACATATCCTTTGCATAAAATTTAGAAATACCTGTATCCCAAACCTGATTTTTGTTTCTTTCTAGCCAAAGCGGACTCCTCGTCATCAGTCAGCTTCGAATGCTGCAACAGAATGAAATATTTATCAGAACAACTAGCGAGAGCGGAACAAACTCTCAAGTAAGTCCCTGGTGAATCACACACACGTAGATTCAAAATGACGGACATATCTGACGTCACGTTAGAACTTCATGCATGAAGGTTTAGACTTCAGGTACAAAAAAAGTCGTCTATACTTTTTACTGTGGATAAAAACATAGACATAGTAAACTAATGTATCTTATCGATAGTAAGACCTAAGGTAGACGTAAGGTCATTGGCCCAATAAAATCAGGTGCAAAAATAGTTAAGAACAATTTTATTAATATTTTCATAGCTGTTTTATGATAAAGCATTCTTCTTAAAGCTTTAACATGAGCTTATCAGTCTAAATCTTCAAAAATAACATTCTATAGGTCTTCAACAAACATCGGAACTTACATTATTTTATGAACGAGTATTGGAACTACTCTACAAAAGAGTCCGATTATCTAGACTCCTACTTAGCCATATTTCCCATGCAAACGACGACCATCTTCGACAAACCGCATAGAACTAGAAAGTTCAAGCATCGTCACGGATATAAGCAAGTTTGTTTTAAGTTAAATTTAATCCTTGTGCGTTTGAAAGGGAACACGACTTCCCACTCCGTTGTCTTATGGCTTCTACCTATACGACTATAACCTTACCTAACGTATCACGTTTGATATACCTACGTACAAACTTTGAACTTCCATCACTTATTCATGTATGTATGATATGTATTGCTAAGTATTCGGTGAATAGGAAGTAGGCTGTTGTGTAAGAGGGCAATGTTTTTCATTGAATTGAGTAGAAAATATGCCTATCTATTTATGAGAACAGCGTAACTCTAACTACAACATAAAGGTACTGTTTAATATGCTCTATAATAGCACGCTAAAAGGCATTCTATCGAGTATGCTCGAAAATGTTCAAAAATCGAACGGCTGTCGATTCACAAGCATGCCCGAGATGAGCATGCTAATTTTGAGCAACACTCCGGCACATATGCTACTAAGTGACAAGTCAATTGAAGCATGCCTTTGTGCTTGAAATTAGCAATAAGTAACAGTACCTTTAATGTTTCCGCTTACAATCTTCTTATTAATGATTACTTTAGGTATATTACATAGTACTTGCTATAATGAACTCTATATTAACACATATATCACCAAATTCCTGGTAACTAGAAATGAACATTAATCATCGGTTTATTATAATGGCCAGCCTTGCCTATAATTCCCAGTGAACTTAAATTTATCTTTACAGGAACACACTTCGATCACGAAATCTAATGTTAGCTTCGCGCACGAAACCTGGTAAGTTTAACCATTTAAGTAAAACCATTTATTATGCCTTAGCGTCATTGAAAAAAGTACAATAACTAGTGTCTACCGGATAATTCCATGCTTTGCTCTATAAGTTCCTAAGTATACGAGCCTCAAAAAGCCTCGTCGAACGCTATATAATTTATTTGGAAAGCCAAAGCTAATATAGGTGTTGAGACGCTTGTAGCTCCGTTCATTGACCTGCCTAGAATATCTTATTCACTAAATTCTAGATGAATTTATGCACAAAGAGAACGCAAAGTGGTACATATATTAAAATTTAAAGTCTGTCACACTTCTTAGAAGTTTTAATATATTTCCACAATTTTATTAAAATCACTTTACATGGAGTGTGACTTTCAAATTGTATGACAACACTATTTAGATATGAAAATTGCCATTGAAATCTCGACGTTAATTGTTTTATTAGCACCGAATGTGTGGTGTCATCTAATATTCATCAATTGGTTTTAATTGAACCGCTTTTCGTTCAGTTGTGACGAAAAACTTAACATTTTCTCAAGATACGAGTAATCTTAAGAAGTAGATAATTCCATTTTACGGATAGTCAGTACTATTTTTATATTGATATTACAAACTATGAATAGAAAACTTACAAACTCAACATAAAATTTTATCTATTGAAGAGTAAGTGCACGTTCACGAAACTAGTTTTACTACAAAACCTAAGCACAGCGCCGAAGGAATCGTCTAAAGTTCACACGTTGAACTAACGTTCAACGAAAAATCCGTTGAGCTAACGTGACCGATTCTCTGTAATCTAATCTCCAAGTTTCATTCGTTCAGAACAAATGGCAACAGTTGCAGAAGCTCAGGACATTGATACACGATACATAGAAGGTGCGACGGCGTCAAAGGGTAGTGACACAACGGAATGGGGTGGAAGGGTAGCGCTGTGGGGGGTCGTGCCATTGTGGCGCGCTGCCCCACCGCCCGACACAGTCCTCGCGTTGCGAAGACCTACGCTGTCCGACTGTTGGCCTTTCATGTGAGTCGAATTCCAAAGATTACGAGAGATATAAGATAACTGCTGTGTGGGACGTTTGATCGTTTGTTTTAGTTAGTGCAAGCCTCTGGGGGTAGAGATATCAAAGTTTAAGCAACTTTAATGCTAATGCTTGTCTGTAAATAAAGTGTCATGCGGCGGGACTGATAACATCCATCTCATAGTAACAAATAAATTACATTTACAACTATTTGTATAATGGCTCAGTAAACTGAACGGCTTTTTTGTTGTGGGTTCGATTTCTTTACGCCACTTACATGATACCTATATCAATTACTTACTTGATTCTTATGGAGTGTATTCGAAACGTATCTAGTTACTATAGCGTTTTAAGTTTTCGCATCCTCTTAAAATATTGTTAAATTAAGCTTACAGTAAACACGATTAAACTAAAATAACAATTACAATTTTCAGTGGTTCCTACGGCGAGATAATAATACGATTGCCGCAAACGCAGAGGGTGCGTTACGTCACCGTGGAACACATCAACCCAGACACAGCCCGGAGTGCGCCCAAGCATTTCCTAATATACGTTAGTAGTCAAACAGCTGAGATATGAGATTACCGCTTTGAACTCCAATGCTAAAACAAACGTGCTATCTATGAGAACCACAGGGAATATAATTACTATTCTGCACAGCGGTTTACGTACAAATACTAACTGCTTCGCTTGCTTGCTTTTGGATAATTTTGGAATATTAGCTCTCCGTTTGTGTTTAGGGCATCTCAAAAATTATTCTGTAATTTCGGAGTACATCACGTAGGTATATCACGACTAACAAAGTAAAAACTTAGTTCATTACGTTTTTATGGGACAGAGGCCAACGAGCAGACGGTTAACATGAACCGGATACTAAGCAAAGAACTGAGGACTTAGTACGAGTTTATTTTTCGTTTAAAGTAATCGAAACGAGACGGCGTCCGGCCCTCTGATTGGTTGGTTCATTGGAGCCGGCCAATCACAGCGCCGAACGCGTACTTGTTTCGATTACTTTCAAAAGAAATTCATACTAAGGCCTCTGTTCATGAACATCCGCAACACGAAGAATTACTAGTGCGTTGCTGATCTTCCTGCATAAATCCTAATGAATTTTAGATTGGCGCAACGTCTTGCATTCTGCTATATCAAATGTTCTATCAAAATGAGAACTGCATAATCGAAATGTTAAATTAAATCTAATACCCTGTGCTACCAATACCGACTAGACGTTATTTTCGCATGTTACTTTTTCAACAAATTGGCACGTGTCCTCTCGCCATTCACAGCATACCTGAGTAATAGATATGTCTGCAAAACACAGGTGGTGTTATTATTCTGCATTGCATTCCTGTCATATTCATAAAATCAGGTATTAGTACGTCTGCTATTCTGCAGAGGTCATCGACTCTATATTCGTGCTCAATTTTAGGTAACTACCTACCTTTTAGTTTTCGAGGTGTTACTTATTTACCCATTAGTCACTTTGGGTGGTGTTCTTTTCATTTTAAACCACAATTAATATTCTGACTAAAAATTACTGCCTCGTTGGCAAAGTGGCCTCAAGTGCGACTGCCGGGCATAGGGTCTCGGACTCGATTCCCGGGTGCGGCAAAGTACTACTGAGTTTTTTTTTTAAATATCATTGGTAGCGCGGAGTCTAGAATTGTCCCCGGTATACGGCAATAGGCTCGGCCATTACATGGGCACTCACCCTCTATTACATGGGATCTCATCCCCTATTAAGTGGGTGTTACATTGTACAGTGGCATTAAGTACCGTAAGTGCACCTCTGGCTACCCCTTCGGGGATAAAAGGCGTGATGTTATAGCTTAAAAGTTCTGTTTAGCAATTTGTCTTCATCGTCCAACGCAACGTATCTTATTTCTAGTCTTATCCACTGTGTCAGCAAAATCGTAGCACGAAAATCTCATTATCAATTTTTAGTGAGACTATTCAGTGAAATTGTTTTGCAGTAACGCAAGACAAGTGCATTTTAGAAACAGCATCAAATGTAAAGGATGCTGTCTACGTGATTCGTGTCATGTTGCAGTCTTACTCGGATATATGCGAACTCATGCAAATTCACTTGTTACGTATTCCGCAATGCTTTTGCATTGACTAATACAATGAACTACACTGACGCGACGTCGACGTCTCTCTGATATGGACTCTGTTTTGTAGTTTTAGTTGAATTCTGTTTGCGGTAATTTTTTTTTATGGTACCACGACGGTGGCAAAAAAGCACACGGCCCACCTGATGGTAAGCGGTTACCGTGGCCTATGTACACCTGCAACAGTTGGGGGGCATTACATTTATTCTTGTGACTTGATTTAGTACCTAAATATTACGTTGTAATCGAACTTTCTTTATATTCACCTTGCTACTAGATCGGTAGGCCAAACTAATGAACATCAGATTGAGGTACTTTTATGTGCTACCGGGTGCACTTACCCAATACTGTAAATCCGCAATCTTCTCTCGAGATCTGAAGCATGCATTGATCTGATAGTAAATCAATGATTCCTTTTTCCAGGGCATCCTAGCAAACAGTACATGGATCAAAATAGCGAACTCACAATATCGCGCGGCAGGACCCGCGAAGCAGTTCTTCACATTAGCATACAAGTACCTCGAATGGAGGAGTCTGGTTTTCCGCGTACTAACCAACCAAGGAAACAACAAATATACCTGTATTTATAGAGTACATTTGTACGGAAATGCTGATAGTAGTATGGTTGCTTCGAATAAATTATAAAAAATGTGTAGTTTTTTTTAAAGATTCACTTTCATTTACCGTATTTCTACAAACTACGTACCACTGTATGACTTCTCTGAAAAGTAGATACTACTTACTATATGTCACTTTTAATAAAAACCTACTATTTTAATAGTACAACTACATTGCTACTTCATCTAGGAAGGGGTCTACAGAAAGGATAAGAGAGTAAATAAAACATTTGATTGGTTTTACGTTATATTAGCCAAAGCAAACGTAACGTTTACGAAGTGCTCCAGTCCTGGGCAGAGCCACCCCATGAGGGGGTGGGTGCGGGGGCAGCTGGGGCGGGGGCGGCGGCGGCAGTGGTTCCCCACTCTTCTTGTACCTGGAAAAGAGATACATACATTAATTTCTGCACGTCTTAAGCACTAACTGGGATGAAAATTTTTCTTTGAACTGTTCAGCTTTTACACTTGATTAGTCAAATTGCTGAATAAATGCTTTTTCTTTCTTTCAAAGGCAGCTTGTGTTCATGTGTCAGTCAAGCCAGTCAACTAGCATTTTACTTTGTATATGAGTAGTAGAATATTGCAATTTAATAACCATCACACCAAACAGTGTAAGGAATTTACCAACTCCAGTGAAGGTAAAAAAGGAGAATTGTACCCAACATAAAATTTTAAGACTAATTGTACACAATCTGTTTTGTTAATATTCTTACCTGGGAAGCCCAGTCTTCTTGGGCGGGGGCAGCTCCGAAGCTGGCAGCTGGAGGTGGTGCGGCGTCCTCAGCCCATGAGGTAACGGGCTCCACAGACTCGTTCCAGTCCTCGTGCACTGCGGCGGGCGCGTCAACCTTGGGTGGCGCGACAGCCTGGCGAAAAAGGAAACATTAGTAAAATATACCTAGAAATTCAGTGATTTCAACTTCAATATCATAAAAAATATCGAACTATCTAATTAATTATGCAGTCATTAACACATAGTGTGGCGGGAACGCGGATCCTCTCTCGCGAGACATAATGTGTTTTCTATTATGTCGCATATACTGGCAGTCCAATAGGTATCACATATTTTAAGTTGGAAATTGATTTGTAGATCAAGAAAAATACTACCTAGTTACTCCAAAACCTATGTCTGTAGTTGTGTACTTTAAATTATTAAAGAGAATTATATCACATAAGTACTTTAATGTGTAATACTTACAACAACTTGTTCCTTAGCCTGTTGTTCCTCCTTCTCGCTCTCTTCAGGGTCACGGTAGAAGAACAGATCAACAACCACGTCCCAGCGTTGGTCACGGGCAAGCACACCACGCAGTCTGAGGACCTCACGGGCCAACAGCCACCACATCAGACCAATGGAGTGAGAGGACTGTGGAAAAAAAATTAATGAAAATATGAAAAATACAATTTAACATTTATTGCTTTCATGTAAATCCAAAATAAAGTTTGTTAGGAGTTAAGTTCATTAGAATTTTCTCAGTAATAAATACAATTCAATGATTAAATACTGACCTTGGTGTTGCATGGGATGGCGATGTCAACGAAACGGAGGGGAGAGTCAGTGTTGCACAGAGCAATGACTGGAATGTTGACGTATGAAGCCTCAGTAATGGGCTGGTGGTCCTGGGCGGGGTCCAGCACGATCAGGAGACGGGGCTCACGGAACGCAGCTTGGATCTATTAGGGAAAAAAATAATACGATTGTAGATATTTTTCTAGTACTGTTGATTCATGTTTATAGTAATTTAGTGAAGATCAGGTAAACTTATAATCATTACTATCAGTGGTTCCTTAGTTTGTTTGTCATCATTGAATATCACAAGTTAGTATTACTAACAATAACAAAAAAATACATTAAATAATGTATGTAAACAAGTACAAAAAAACCTATTCAGTATTTGAAGTATTTACCTGGTTAGTGAAGGCACCAGGGGTGAAACGTCCAGCGATGGGGGTAGCACCAGTGTGTGCGGCGAACTTCAGGACAGCACGCTGACCAAAGGGACGGGAAGAGATGACGAAAACGTCAGCGGGGTTCTCAATGGCCACCACGGCACGCGCAGCCAACACGAGCTTCTCCCATGTACGGCGCAGGTTGATCACGTGTGTGCCATCAGCGCGGCGCTTGTACACGTACGTTTCCATCTACAAACATTCATGTTTCGTTATTTTAATATAATGATATTGTCATTTTGGATATTATTGTTATTTCGATTTTGTCAGTTGGGAGAATGGATCGTCAATATTTTCAGACAAATAAAATGGAACGGATTCTTAGCTCATCATGTTTAAGTATTGTTTTGGTTTTAAGGTTATAAAAATTACAAGTTCTGGTACCCACCTGGAAGTTGACATTTTCCGCCCCAAGGTGGGTGGTTGCGGCCAACATCTTGGTGACATCTTCCTCGTTGAGGGCGAGTATATCTAATCCTCCCGACATCGTTGCGTTTAATTGAGTTACGGCTAAACCTAAAAACAACAAATGTGACACCGCTATAGCACAGCGTAAAACTTAATATTTAGAACATATACATGAAAAATACTTTACATATTCATTATTAGGATAGATCTTGAGTGCATATAGATTACTTGTTTTAAAATATTACACTTGATTTAGGAAATAAATAAAGATTCAAAAAATACTTACGCGTATAATGCCACTGGGAGGCGAAATAGACATAAAAGAACTGTCAAACGAAATAATATGTCACAGCTCGTGCCTTCTTTTGACAGTTCACTCACTGTTATTCATTTTTGTAGATAACTTCAGGTATATCGCTTTCTCTTTCTTATTTCAGAATAGTTATGTAGGGAAAAAAGAGATAAAAGATCTTCATAGATAGGAAAACTTGTATTCCTAATACAGATTATACTAAAACCGAACTTGGCCAAACGTTTTAAGAACTTTACCGGTTAATAATAGTAATTTTATAAATTATGTTAAAAAAATCCCCTATTGAACCCGAAATTGAACCCCCTATTTTTTGAAGTTGGTTAATTAAATAAGTTATCTAAATATATAATAAAACCTCTTCTAAATGTAACAAACACTTTTCTGGAAACCGCATCAAAAGCGGTTCATCCAATCGCGAGATTATGGCGCACAAATATACATACATACCTACATGTCAAACTGAGAACCTCCTTCGTTTTACGACGTCGGGTAAAAATCGCTATTTTTAATCTTAAAAATTCAAAGTGCCACAAAGATTTTTATTATATTAATATGGAATCAACAATATTCAATACTAGCCTCTGCCAGCGGCTTCGCCTGTGTTTCCGTGGGATAAAAGTGGTCTATGTGTTATTCCAGATCATAATCTACCCTTGATTCTTTCAGCAGTCTTGACGTACGTAACTAATACGTGACAAACAAGTAAAAACCAGTAACAAACAGAAACTTTCGCATTAAAATAAAAACATTAATGATGCTATTGTGAGTGTTTTATCTTTTTTATACTGATCTATCTTCTTAACTTTAATTTGGAAGGTTTTTCAGTACCAAATTTTATAAATAGAGCACATTGAAAGGCGTGGCAAGAGGCATCATCAACGATGATGCGCTTTTATAGGACCAGCTTCAAAGCCGGGCGTAAGGTTGCAAGCCTTTCGGTTTCCTACTTCGATTCAACTTGATTTCTCCTAGTCCTTTCAATCATCATACCACAAGACAATCGACGAAACGTCACCTATTAGTAGCTTATGGAATGACGTGCTCCATCGTAGACCGCATCATCGCTTACCACCAGGCAAGATAGTGGTTAAATGTTGGCTTATCAAATATTTATCAGCTGAATGGCAATGATTTATAATGAGGAATGATGGGACATCATATTTTGTTGGATTTTGTCGAGCTATAGCAGCCAATAGCACCTATCTTCACATTATTACAAGAACCAAGAGCGACGAAAACTAACGGTACCTATACTTTCAAACACTGTTTGAATTTCAAACTGTTATTGAAAACTCAGTACCCTTTGAACATATTAGAAGACTTATGAACTGATTTACTTTACTCTAAACTGCTAAACTAAGAGTTTAGTTTAGTTCGGAAGTACCAATGATGATAATATGGTAGCAATGGAACTAATCTGATGATAATATAATCATTGCCAAAATACACCAACAATATCAAAGGCAAGGACGTTGAAGAAACTTCCTTGATCAAAGGCATCACAAGTGCGTTGTCAACTCATACAGGGATTTATTCTATTGAATGTTACTGCAAATGAGCCAAATTGTATCCTGAACTTTCACTTACCTACTATGCAAAATATGATATTATGTTTGGAACTATTAACTCGACACTAGTATTCCGTAAAAAGGCAGAAGGCTGGATGGGTAGGTACTTTCCAATATAAAAAGTCTCATTGAAGTTGCTTAAAGTAACAGTTAAATATTATCGGTACCTACCTGCATAATTTTGATTAAACCTTCTGATATAATTTCAAGTCTCTCTAGTCTAGATGTATTCAAACACTTTATACTTTATTCACGTCTTCGTATAGAATAAACATAAGAGCATTCACTAAATATCCTTCCATGTCGGTATTGATATTGACCCTATGGAAAGGCGAAGTAAAATTATACTAATGAAGTAAGGTTTTGTGGGGTAGTATTGTACTTTATATGCAAATATTCAAGATTTACAGTATTAAAGGATTTTTCCATTTGATTTTTAAATCCAATCGGATTCGAACCTGAGATTTCGTTGTTCGAAGCAAAAATTTGGCAACACTCATCCACGAAGTCGTATATTTTTAGCCTATGGCAACACAGATTCATACTTTTGTGACTGGTGATGTGACTGATGTGTGGCCTGTGAACGGAGAATATTTTTCCGTATCGGCGTTATATCGTACTAATTTTAGATTGTTCTGTAAGACAATACATACATTATGATTACTTTACTTCCCTGACCTCAAGCGTTGTTAAAAGTTTGTATACTTAGTGAGTTATTTTGGTAATCGGTGACATTTTAGTGAAGTGCCTAATTTGATCATGGAGGCTATAGCAAAACACGATTTCACTGCAACTGCTGATGATGAGCTCAGCTTTAGGAAGAATCAAGTCCTCAAGGTACGGCTACATGCATAGAAATGATGTGTTTTCGGTTTTACCTTAAATTGTGACAGGTTCTTTCTAGAATTTTTGATATTACAGATACTAAACATGGAGGACGATATGAACTGGTACAGGGCTGAATTAGACGGCAAAGAAGGACTTATTCCTAGTAATTATATTCAAATGAAAAGTCACAGGTAAATACTTACATTCAGTAAAGAATGTTTCTAATTCTAATTATAGTCTTACATAAATCGCACCTATTAATTTCGTTTGTAAAAACACAACTAGATAGGTATTTACGTTTAGAATAACAAGCACCCGTTGTGTATCACATAAATCTTTATTATTTTAGAACATGTTTCGTTGTAGCACACAAGAGAGTGCAAACATTTGCTCTATCTGTCGAAATTTCGTAACAAAATTCAAATACGAAACTTATTGGAAAAAGTATTCAAAAAAGTTTGTGCATAATAGGTTATGATTGTAACTATTCATTATGATTACAATATAACATAACAATTACACTATTGTATTTATTATAAAACAATAAATCTTGAAGTGGAACTTTTATATTTTTTACAATAAACTATTGTTCAAAGTTCTAATACAACTTTTTAAAACTAATAGACACAAAGTATCACTACTACCCTAAAAACTTTTTAAAGCCTTTTCCCTTTTTATCACAGATAATAAATACAGTTTATTAAATTAAATACTATTTTTAGCTGGTATTATGGAAGGATCACAAGAGCGGATGCAGAGAAACTTCTAGCAAATAAACCAGAGGGTGGTTTTTTGATAAGAATCAGTGAATCGAGCCCTGGTGACTTCTCCTTATCTGTCAAGTAAGTTTTCTACATAAATACTAAGAAATAAGTTATATCTAACATTTGTTATAGTTCCTGGAATTCCTTCCAATTGGATTATATTATTAAGTCACAATTAGTGAGTCACTTAGTATGACAGCATAAATACTAGTCTTATTTGTGTTATATTTGACCATAATAAATTGTATGAATCTTAGTTACATCTGTCCTCATGCCTGGTGGTGTCTCTCTATGTATTTATGGGTACCATTACTAATAATTATTATAAATCATATTACTAATGTTGTGTTACTAAGCTTTCAAATTAAACTTCCGTTCGATTTATCATTTTATTGTTTACTGCGATTTGTTTGACACATAGATAAGGAGGGATATGAATAATTTTTAAACTGTATCTGCGAAGCTTACTGGTTATAATGTTTTGGATTATGTTGTGTTATTTTGAAAACCCAAATAACTCTATTATAAATGATACAATTGCAGCTTGAACTAGATAACTTTTGTATAATTTATATGTTTATTAATAAGAGCACTTAATAATGCTATCGTTATTTACACATTGGTTTTCCCCATCCACTGAGAAGTTGTGTTGCATAAACAAACAATGGTGGATTCTGTGAAATAAACCACATATTTAGAATGAAATCTCTTAATAGTGGCATACCATATATAATAGTACATTAAACAGTTTCTCTATTCTTTAAAAAGTTACTCTATGCATAGTATGCATATAAAACCTCTTTCGTAAGTGTTTTAAACACTAATTCTGTACAAGTTATCATTGTTTTCGAACTTAATCATATCAGGTAAATTGTAGTGAAAAAGTCAAGCTAAAATGACCTCTATTGCAAGTTAATTTACTCACCCTCATAAACTCTTAATTGGGTGCTCCCATAATTCTGATTACAGTGATAACCTAATAGCCTACTGTTTTACCCCACCATTGAAAGACTTATAGGGAACAATATGTGTTTTTTCTTACTTTTTGCTTATTCACAGATTATATTAGTTGTTGAAAACAGGGTATTTACAATTATAATATTAAATATTGAAATACATTCATTACAATATTTAGAATTGTGAGGATTGTAGGTGTAGATGGTCATTAATCATGAATCTTGACTGTATGCTGAATATCATCTAAAATTGTTCAGCAGTTGTTGTGTTATTGCGTGATAAAGCATTATTTTAGTTACTAATATATGTATGAATTCTAAATTATTACTGTTTTACAAATTATAGGATGTTTCTATAATGAATTTAAATATTAAATTAGGTTTTGTGTTCATTATAGCTGTGGATTCGTGGTCTATTATTTACTCTACAATATAAGGTCAGCTAATAATAAATGGGGCTACAATAGGTATGCTGTTATAATTTCTTATCAGAAGGACTTTCTTATTTACTGTTTAGATTATAAGCTTTGTTTGTTATTTATAAAGTACTTATTATACTAACACAGACTGTATAAGGGTAAAAGATAAATAATTAGTGATACACAAGATAATATCTAAAGTACAAGTGTGGGAGAGCCATGCTTCGGCTCGGATGGGCCGGTTCGACCGGAGTGATACCAAGGCCTAACCGACGTGAAGCAACGCTTGCGTTGTGTTTCGTCGTGTAAATGGCCGGAAGCCCAATTAATTTTATTAAATAAACTAGCTGTTGCCCGCGACTTCGTCCGCGTAGATTAATGACTTCTGACAGAATTAATCAGAATCAATAAAATAAATAAAAATAAAAAAAATAAATATTGTTGTACCGAATCTCTCTAAAATAAGTTCAGTGGTTAAGAGTTAGAGAGTCCTGGGGCATTGACGCATAGTTCTCGTTCCCGTGGGACATCTGTGATAGAAACTAAAAACTGGCAAAGTATCATACAAACTTTCACCCCCTATTTTACCCACTTTGGGGTGAGAATGTTCAAAAACCTTTCTAAAGGGACGTTTACGTCATAATATCCATCTGCACGCCGAATTTCAACCCGATCGGTGTAAGAATGACAAAGCTTCATACAAACGTTCATCCCCTACATTACCCCATTGGAGGTGGAAATAATCAAAATCCTTACTTGGGGATGCCTACGTCATAACATCTACTTGCATGCCGAATTTCATCTGCATCGGTGTAAAACTGACAAAGCTTCATATAAACTTTCACCCCCTATTTTACCCCCTTAGGGTTGGAAATGATCAAAATCCTTTCTTAGCGGATGCCTATGTGATAACATCTATCTGCATGTCAAATTTCAATCCGATCGATTTAAAACTGAAAAAGTCTTATACAAACTTTCATCACCTATTTTACCCCCTTGGGGGTGGAAATTATCAAAATCCTTTCAAAGCGGATGCTTACGTCATAACATCTATCTGTATGCCAAATTTCAACCCGATCGGTTTAAAACTGACAAAGTCTCATACAAACTTTCATCCCCTATTTTTCCCCCTTGGGGGTGGAAATTATCAAAATCCTTTCACAGTGGATGCTTACGTCATAACATCTATCTGTATGCCAAATTTCAACCCGATCGGTTAAAAACTGACAAAGTTTCATACAAACTTTCATCCCCTTTTTTACCCCCTTGGGGGTGGAAATTATCAAAATCCTTTCTTAGCGGATGCCTACGTCATAACATCTATCTGTATGCCAAAGGGCATTGACTAAAATTGGTGCCTTTCTTTTTTCTGGCGGCAGTCGATGATTTGTGGAAAATATTATCTAGAATGACATTACAAACGAAATTGTCTATGGGCTCATATATGGAAATTTCAGTCTGGACTGAGTTATGAGCGTTGAAAGGAGCTGGAGTCAAACATTTTACTTTGGTTTTTTTATTCAAATTATTCATATTTTTGTCACAATTCCTAACTTCAAATTGCGCGCCATTGTACGCCGGGCACAGGAACACCACATCACACCACAATATATCCTATTGCCAGCCACTAATTTTTATTACTTATTTTCTCTCAGTCGATAACTTGTGGGATGCTTCTAGGAGTTGTGTCATGAAGCTTCATGAGCGTCAGCTGTCGTACCAGTGGTGGGTTGAGTAGTGGTAGCCGTCCAAACATCTAATAAAGTATTATTTTTTTGCCGTTGACTCCTGGTGGGAGACTCATCTACTTTATAGTTAGCATAATCTTTTGAAGAAAGGAAACCGTCGACTTTGTCAAGTGATGGACTATAAGTCAGAAGAGCGCATAATTTTTTCATATAATTTAATCAGCCGAAATATAATCCATCGATTTGTGTCTATATGACGATCTTATGCTAGTATTAACTGTAGTTTGATTAGTTACTTACCCGGAGTAAGTCGAGAGAAGTATAAAGGAAAATATTTTTTTTTGCGTTTTAACGACTGCCGCTACTCAATCCGCTACCGACGCTGCAGCGGACAAACACAGCATTTCATGATAGGGCCCAGTGAAGTATTTTGCGGGTTTTTGACTGAGAGGAAATCGATCATGAAAATCTGTCGTAGGCCATAAACCGTATACATATAAAGTGAATACGCTAGCCAATTAAGCGAAATGTTTTTTTTTTACTTCAGCAGTGGCCAGTTAATGGTTTACTCTGTTCTGATTCCATGGAATCCAGAAGAGTAAACTAGGGCTGACTAGGGCTATGGCCTTATAACAAAAAAAAAATAAGTAAAAATGTCCACAATAAGCCTTATTATATTCCTTGAAATTGTTTATAAACATTTATTACAAAATATTTCTGACAAGTAACTGAAGAAATATACGTTGTGTACGGTCACCATCAACAAAATAACAGGAATAATTAGCACTATTTTCACATCTTTGAACTGATTTAACTCGGTTTGGACTGTGTTTTTGATATAAGACCCCATACATTTTTTTGTTTGTAATGTTATTCTGCATCAGTTTTTCCACATCCGATCAACTGCCGCGAAAAAATGAAAAGGCACCACGCTTCATACAAATTTGGTCATTGTCATTTTAGCCCAATCTGTCCAGCGGTTTGGGCTGTGCGTTGATAGATCACTAAGTCAGTCAGTCAGTCAGTCAATCACCATTGAATTATATATATATAGAAGATTAAGCCTAAAAAGTGTCAGTTGCGATTGCGTCGTGATAAAATAGACAGACTATCGCATTTATGCTATTTATGTGCTAGAATACTCTTCTACTACAAAGTACAGGAAGGCGAAAGTTCAAATAGACCCAAATGGGGACGAGGTCATGTCCAAGGTCAATTCTTGCGAGCAATAAGTACTATGGAACCTTATCAACTTATCAATCTCATAATATTGCTAGTTACTATACATAAGTGTTGCACTTCCTTATAATGTTATTGCTGTATAATGTTATTTAGGTACTCAGTAATTTACTCATTACAATTAATTTTAAGAGATGATTACCTCTTTAGTCACATGGATATTTAAAAATTCATTATACAAAAGAAAAACTTTATTTAAATATCCCTAAAACCTAGCAACACACTTGGAATTGCAACTCCTTTGGAGTTGCGGATGTCCATATGAGGCGCAAATTGCTTACTTATAACAAGTGAGACGTCTGCACGTTTATTGTGCTACCCTATAAAAAAAAGTCTGTCTGTCTGTCTGTCCGTCCACTGTTTTACACCAGGTGGTCGTAACGTAGACATGCGTACGTCCAACTGTCTGAACTATCCATGTCCATCTAGTTAGCAAAAACACGAAATAGGTCACTTATTAGAATTCCTAATTGACAACAATTCGCGTTCGTGTTTCGCCCGTTTCCTTATTAGCTTATTGTCATATAATCAATAGGTCAATAGCAAAGTGGTTCATGTGAGGTGACGCACAACAAACAATTTCATTACAGTTTAAATTGGTAGTTAATAAAAAAATAAGGTTCGCGCCATCGGTCGGTCGAGAGCGCGTATGACTCACTGAGTATCTAGAGACGTTTTATTTTGTCTTGAATCTGTCTTGGCGTGTATTAGTCATATTCATCTCTATAGGCCAACATTTCGTCGACAGGTAATTTTATTATTGGCTTTACTGATTTACGTGTTAAAATATTCACGAATGATTCGTAGAAATCAATAAAATATGAGTGTACACCTAGTACTCAGAATCTTATCAAAAATTGATATATTTTGAAGTATAAAATGATTACGTTTGTTGAACTAACATGTTTCTATATTTTTTCACACAGCAATGTCCTTTACCGTATCCTTGACCTCCGCTATCGATCATTTACCCCTCTAGAAGTTAACGATAACTTCACTAGGAGAACAACACTTCAGAAATGGATTCCAAAAAAATGTAACGGGAAATTCTTATGACAACCATTATACTTACAAATTAAGATAAATTAGAAAAGGCAGGTCATAATGTTCTTAAACTTTTCCCTATTTAAAAACCAGTTTCCTGTCAAATAGTATGAATCAGCGGTACAGAGATTGCGCTGAAACCAGTTTTGGGCTATAGATATTAAACACGGGCCTCATTTGACTTGATACATACTGTTTTAAATAATTTTTAAAATATATTTCGATTATTTTCGTTTAATTAGCCGCAGAAAGCACCTACCCGACGCAAGCTGGCGAAATTCTGCGTAAGCAATTTGCGTATCTCTTGGAAAACCTGGAATAGGTGCGCCGTCTGCAGTTGTGGTCATAACGCAAATAAATTGTAATTTCCAATTCTTTATATTATTGTATTTGTAATTGTACTAATGACGTAGGTACTACAAGGAAAAAAAAATATTGTTACCTGCCTACATATGTAAAATATCTCTTGAACTTTAATTCCCACAATAGGCGACTGAACAGCTTGTCAAGTTCCATACTTCATGTATATCTGTGATACCTAGACGTCCTGTATTTTTGAAGTTGCATAGTGAAACTAAAACCCACATATCGATTTACGTTTCATTACGTTTCTATGAAACAAAAATATTATATGCCTTTATGATTCCATGCGGTGGTTTTCTTCGTCGATTTAATATAAATATGATTTAATTAGCTACTATGGTCACACATACCCTTTATCCCGGATAATTTTGAACGCTAACTCCCAAGAATTTCTCCGGATTCCTAGAAATTTTGCAGCTGCTCTGTTTATTCTAATGATAACGTTTGGTATTTACGCAAATAGGAGGAAAAGAGAAATACTTGAATGGTCTGCGATCCCACAACCGGTTTCAGTGCTAACCATATTTTATTTTATATACGATATACGACTATATTCTCGGGTTAACGGCTGACATTCGATATGTCGACCTTACCGTTCCCATTTACGATTTCGGTTACATCTACGAGAATTACGTCACCAAGTTCAATTAGTTCCACAAATATTTGTTCCGAGTTTATTAGAGGATCGACGCGTTACTATTTGTTCTAAATATACATATAAATATTTATGCCACGCCTATGAAATCATTCGGCTGGAGTATAGAATTGTATCTTAACTAATTTATCAGAGCTACTATCAAAAATATGCAAGGGTCAATAGAGTACTTGACAAAATTGCATATCTTTATTACAGAGGTCAATTTATCGCAAATTATTGGTTATGTAGTGTGGAGTCTGTTCTGAAAAAAGTGTGTTATTGTGATTGCAAAATCCATTACATGAACAATTTTTAACTCATAACATACGCCCAGCTTTCCCAATATAATTAACAGGAAAATAATCAACCAAATCAATATAAACCCAATTACGAAGTAGGTAGTGTCATAAGAGTTGACGAATGACAAGTAATTCAATACGAGAGCTTCCACGCATCACGCTTAAATAATTTATTGCCTTAATATGGTTTGATTCCGCGACCCACACTCTACCAACTCAGTGGCATTTGACTTATAAGCAAATTCACGGTTTTCTTGCTTGTATTTCTGACGTACACCAAACTTACCATATCCAGAGTTAGTTACGTAATAAAAATACCACGGTTTTTACAACATCCTGATAACAAAATGGTTGACATAAATTCCTTTTAAAATTAGGGAGTTATGATGCGTTTGAGATTTGTCTTGAGATAATAAGTTGACGATAACTGAAGAGTGTACTATTTTCTCACTAACAAAATTATGAGTACAAAATTAACAGAAACGTGTACGGATCCATTTAAGGGACCAAAAATGTGAATTATACCTTATCTGCTCCAAAAGTAGGGATGACACACAATCTATCCAAAAATGCAATGTCAATGGATCACCATCTTTCTTCAGATGTCCGGATGGCGTGCAACATTTCAAAGTTCTTCGGGACGCGTCAAGCAAATTCTTCCTGTGGGTGGTGAAATTCAATTCACTCAACGAACTCGTGGACTACCACCGTAATGCGTCAGTAAGCCGCCTGCAAGATGTCAAGCTCAGAGACGTAGTTCCTGAAGAGGTGAGTTCTATAATATTTACTCTCTTTTTTGTCTTGTAGATATTTAATGTGTCGAAAATGTTCTATATTTTAAATAGGTTTGTCGTTCAACGGCCAAAATTAAAATTCAATTTAAATACATACTCTCTGGATTGATTCAATGGTTTTGACAGGAACTCCATGCAAGTATGTAATATCGAAAATCGATCTTTATCCAAAAATTCTGAATATAGGGCTCATGCACAAAACTGCGAAGCAACGTCGAATCGCAAAAATGTGCGAGCTCCCTCTACGCATCTCAATCAAGAATTTGCGAATTGATTCGCATTGCAATCTTATCTTCCCAAAATCTTCTTTGTTTCTTTTTCCTGTATCTCCTAAGCAATAACAGAAGTGCACACTTCTTTTTATGATCCATGTCACGACCTAGTTTTCAATTTAAAATACGCTTAGTAAGATACACGGTCGGAATGGTCACCCTGGGAGATGCCTTGTCGCACGAAATCGTATCGCAGCAATTCGCATCGTATTTTTTTGCGTTGCGAATTCGCATCGCATAGCAGTTTTGTGTACAAGTCCTGAGATCGGTTTATCGGTTATTAATTTTGGCCGTAGGACAGTTCGAAAGGGACATAACATCGACTAAAGCTTTCAATAATGCGATTTCCACGTCATTCAAATACTTGCAGATTTCCAAGCTCACTTACTTGTCAGTAAACTAGAATTGGATAGATAGGTATATGGTTTCACTAGTTCACATATTTCCTACATAGGTGACTTGTTTCGAATGTAATCGGCAATTAGCGGTTTTCCTCGTAGGCATAGTTCATACGGCAATATATTATTTGTCACTCGCGTAGTCGCAGGTAGAAATCACATTATTTCCTTGTTCCTAACGTAACAATATTTTGTAGACCAGTCCCTCAAATAAGAACTTTGAGTGTCAGTAAAACTTCAATGTTTTATTCCTATTTTAAACTCAAACATATGTATAGTAATTCTGGTATTTACGAATGCGGTAAAAAGAGTTTTTATGTAACCTAACGCAGCTGGTTTAAATCTCAGCGTTGTTGTATATTTTAGACTGGAATCTCGCCGTTCAATCCCTAGGCTATTGCACAAGACAAGTTACTTGTGTAATGTCTTGGGAAAAGATATTATCGGATATTAGCACCCATTCTTTAAACCAGTTGTGGCAATCAGGTGACTAGAAGCTAACATTTTATGCACTTGGATATCACCAAATATAAATTTTAATCGAAATTCCTGAGCAAATATTAATGTTTCGCATTTCAATCAACGTTTAAACAGTTAATTTAAAACGAATCGAAAAGTAGCGGTTTAGGATGTTTTAAGTTCGTGTAGCGTATATCAATGATACATTAGCTACAGATGATATATCACGCGAAGACCTTTACAAAAATGTAAAACTAAAAATACACTCAGAAAGCTATGATCATCATGTCTTCTTACAAGTAAAAAATGGAGATGTCTAAAACGTATATTTTAATGTTCTACAAATTATTTGTTGTGAATATAGATCACTTATAAGGGCGCCAGACTAATGAATCATCGTAAATGTTTTCCTTGAAAAATATTTATTCGAAGCAAGAACGTACGCATTTGCTAGCAAAACAATAAAATAATCATCAGGCTTTAACGTAATAACAGTCTGGAATACATTGCCCTTTACTGAAAGTTTTGGAGCGGTTTGATAGAAATAATACGATATTCATCTGATTATACGGAGCTATAGGTTAGGCAAATACTTCCCACATGACTGGAAGAAAGGATAGCAAATAGCAAGTAATGAGAGGGAAGTTCCCTTTGTTGTTACGACTCCATTACGAGTTATATTCGTGTTCAATACATTTGTGTGAGCAGCGCTCTGCCTATGTAAATTATTCCGGTGTGACCCTGATAAATAACGAAAATAACCCGGTCACTGCGTGTTCCTATAATCTCGGTTACTAGTAGTAGCCTCTGCCTCCAATTGATAGGAGTCGTATGAATTGTTTAACGCTTCATTTTATGGCCGGGAATGTTTATCTGGCCGTGTCCGAAATCAATTACCGTTTTTACTAACGTCATACTAAAACGCTAATTATGGAGTGTTTCATAATTATGCAAAAATACATGTTTTTTCGTAGCGTTATTTTGATATGAAACTTGTTAACTTGTCACTTGCACGCGCTCAAAGGTTATTGGCATACTATGTTACGTAAAGTCTGAGATATTCCGTGAAAAGTTGGAAAATGGCTTAGCAAAGCAGATGTCTGTCAGACAGAACGGCGTCTGTCCGTTCATATAGTAATAACGCTGTCTATTTTTTACAGTTGGGATTTAAATAAGTTTACACATCAAAAGGGAATGGCTTAACGTCATATTTATGTTATAGTTTAAAATCCAATCAGTTTCAGCCACAAAGTAAGATGAAGGAATTTATAAAACGTATATTCCTGTTTCCGTTTATTCGGGTGTTTGTGTAGTCTCGCGTCTACGTGTAAAATATTCTTGTACGCAAAAACAGGCGCATTATACACGCTCGTGTTTTTCTAACGTCATCGATACATGCTCCGATATTTATGCAATGCAGATTTAGTTTTTTCGCGAAAAATGTACGAACATACGTCAGCGCGCTACGGCAATCGATCTAGTATTTAATATGAAGTAAACTTGCGAGTTTAAATGTAGTAATGTAACTTTTCGAAGTATTTATTGTGCTATGAAGACGGTCATCTTGAATTTGCCTTTACAACTGTCTGACTGACGTAGGAATGACGTATGTATCATTTTAATAGCCACAACGACTGAATTTACTACCAACCGCATTAACCAAATTCTAAATCAGTTCAAACGGAGAACCTGCAAAATAAAACTACGTTCGAAAAGTGTCTCCAGTTCAGTAGGTAACCAAAGTTCTTGTCTAGTATCATAAATGAGGCGTTTTATCATGTTTGGAGTTCTCTTTCGACCCTTGAACATGACGCTAATGACATGACTAGCGAAATATCTATTACACAGATCCATAAAGTGGAAAAATACCGTGACTTGCGGTATAATCTGTTATCTACCCTTACCTCTCTTTGGGCGAAGAACCGCTACTGCGACTATGAACTATGATGAAAATGTGATTGAGTTTCGGCAATAGATTTACAATCTATGACAATGAAAGATTATAACATAGGTAACTGCTATAGTGGGTGTTGGGCAAAGTCAAAGCATTTATTTCAATTAAACCACAAATTGGTACCTTTGAAACGTTAACAAATACAAAATAAATAATAGTCTGCCAATCTGTCCGTCAGTGAAGCTGAAGCTCATTCCAAAATGTAGATTCGAATGGAGAAGAACGAGCAAGGAACTCCATTCGTTTCTCTTTTAAGTTGTTTGTTATAGTCCATTCATCCATTCAGTTAATAATAACATCCACGATTCTATGTTCAAGCACCCTTAAACCTAGGTTTTTTTCTAGGTTTTTTATGTCTGTAGTATGCATATGATTTAATATTAATTATTTCTTTTTTTTATTGTGTTCTGGCTTCGCATCAACCTATTCATTTCTCTGCACTTCCCCATGGTTCACTGTCAGAATTCTCTGACTCTTGAATGCTTTAAGGCATTCGCCTTTAAATGAATGCTTTAAAGCATTAAGTCCGCCATTCACTGTTATCTTTGGTGAAGAAGTAATAATAAATAAATAAATCAATACTACTTCACGTACCGAATATGTTTCATTGAAAAACCCATTCATTTTACTTACCCATTCGCATAAATGATGTGTGATAAAATGAATGTACGCCACAATGAGTCCTGAAGTTTTCCCACGATGAGTTAACGGGCCATCGCATATCATTGGATGATTACTGAATACATTATTGTGAGTCATTGTAGGTATATATTGCGCATTTGGTGACTTATCCATATTTTATAGGGAAAGTGAAAATAGTGATGTATTTCCCGTGACTTGTATGGACATTCATTAATTATAGGTCGTAATAATTCTGAGCACATTTTGTAACTAAAATCCGCCTGTATAGTCACAGGGTCAATAAACTTCCATACTTGTAATTCCCTCTATAATTAGTCTCCATAAACAAAATCTAAAACGAATACTTAGGTACCATTTTTCCATCAATATTCATTAAATTTTCTCTTCATATAAGTGGGTACTTCAAGGAAATTACAATTAGTAATCACATACTACGGTTACTTTCCTATGGCTGTTAAAACCAAACTCCTAATTCATAAACACTTAGTTAATTGGATCTATATAATAATTTTACTAATTGATACCAATATGTGTTCGCGCCATTTAGCTAATGGCTTCATTTAGTTTCGAACATTTGTACAAATATTTGAGGCCCAGTAGACACGCTGATAGAATGCATTTTCCATCGTGCCTAAGTATAAACTATTCTGTTTAATAACATTTATTTAGGTTTGTTTACCAAATAAACTCTTCATTTGTACAGTGTAAAGCTAAATCCACTTTTCTATGAGAAAATGTCTCGTTTCATATTGTGTAAAATAAAGTCTCTAGTCAGGCGTTTTAAGCAGAAAGACCCTTTTGAAGTTTTTGTACGAGGGACGAATAGTTATAAACTTTTGAATCTTGTATAAGTTTTTGCTGAGGACTTTTCAAGGAGACCTATTACAAAGTTGGCTTACAAAGACAACCGAAGCCAGACATATTTATTAAACACAAAATATTAACAGTATTACAGATCTAATTAAGTGTAAGTACCTAATGATCAACTAAGATTGCTTCATGATTCTTGATATAAATTGTTTTCTAGATCTTTTTACTTTCATTTAATTTTAAATAGCAAAAGAAGTAATGTGGTTTGCGCTTCATTCTTATGATACATCCGAGTCGTCACTTGTGTTTAGAAGTCGGCTCGACTCAGTGAGCGGTAATAAAAGTATTGATTATTAACTTTACGACTTTTCCCGTTCCATTCGATACTCGTGCCTAGCTATCACGTGGATGATAACTTGGGGTGTGACTTGCGAGTGTCGTACAACATTCCTACCTACTTCAATATTGAACTTATCAAGCTGAAAGGCTAGGTAATATTGAGGCAGCCTTTTTTTTCATCTAATAGAAAACTGCTAAAGTATTACTGGGTTTTTCAAAACATTCACAGTAGTAGCACGGAGTCTGGAATTGTGCCCGGTATATGGCAATAGGCTCACCCCCTATTACATGGGACTCATAACATAAATAGTGAAAAGTGGGTGTTACATTGTACAGTGGCATAATGTACACCTCTGCCTAACCCTTCGGGGATAAAAGGGGTGATGTTATGTGTAGAAAACTGCTATAATAATTCGTTATATTGTAAATTCGTGAACATACAGCAACAAGTGGTTCCGCTTAATTTGTACTGCTTTATCCCGCGAAGTCATTCGATTCCTAGAACAATTTGTGGACACAAAATTCTTTGTAGGATCTCTAATTTGTTTTTATGCGTATGATGTTGTGAAATTATGTATTTGTACACGCAATTTTGGGACAAAAGGTTAGTGCGGGATTACGAATTTTTTTAAAAGAAAGAAATTCAACATTATCTATATACTGCTTGGAATCAGGCTTCAATAATATTCTTCTAAATATTATTTTTGATGTTTACGCTACTGCAGTCGTTTTTTAATATTACCTGAACGAATTTCAATTGAGGCCAATAATTTTAAAAACGCTTCGCAGTTGACATTTGTGCATACGCGGTTATGCAAACACAGGTGCACTTTTTATTCCTTGTTTTCATAGACAGATGGTAAAATCAATAACAAGTTAGATGAACTTTACGATAATCCTTGTTCATTTAATTCTCGAACTGGGATTTTTTATTTAGTTTACGAGTGGGTTTTGAATGTGCTTAATCTGGCAAAGTATTTTCGGTTTCGCAAATGGCTTTATAATCACCATCTTAGCCTTACATGGGACAATATCAATGTTGAAAACTCGGTGTGTTACATTTAATAAGTTCACTTTCTGAACAAAACTCGTGATGTAAAGTTATGTGACACGTTAAGACCAAAATCAGGTCAGATCAGCTATAAACGATGATTCTCCTAAATATCTCTCGTACAATTTCATAGAACAAAAGCTACACTTTATCTAAAAGCACGTCATATAAAAGAACTGCGAAATGGCTCGTTGATTGATTGTTATGTACACAGTTTAATGATCGTGATATGTGTTCTATTTCAGATGCTGGTGCAAGCGCTGTACGACTTCACTCCGCAGGAGGCCGGCGAGCTGGAGTTCAGGCGTGGTGACGTCATCACGGTCACTGACCGCTCCGATCAGCATTGGTGGCAGGTATGTGATAGCACCTTCTCTTTTTATCAATACTCATATGATTAGACTGGGTAATAATATAACCCGTACAAAACATGCCGTAGATTAGGATGCCAATGCCAAAATTACCCAGTTTTAACTAGTAATGTTAGGAATCCCATAATAGGGGGGTGAGCTTAGTAGCATGGAGTGAATTTCAGACTGCTTCTACTGAGAATTTTCTAGTGAAATCTAATACGACTAATCAGGATCGAACCCGAGACACTAATACTCAAAATCTTTAAATTCTTTGAGTGTAGTTCTTAACTACTAGCAACTAAGCAATCCAATAAAAAACATCTAAGGCTAGTCCTAAGTATTTCTGAGATGATCATCTTTAGTAGAATTTGTTAACTGTCAGACATTTGTATCACGTTTCTTTGATATGATATGTTTATTACTTTTCACCGAAGTCTTGTCCCCCTGATAGTCATTCTAGGTAGAATTGAAGGCCAGTTATGACGCTATTATCAGGCATCGTGAGTCATTCCCCCTTTTCGAAACTTATCTAGTCGATACTGATGATGACACATAACTTCTTCTAACAAGAAATGTTTGTCTTAGACTCAGAAATATTTCCAATAAGAATAGTATAACTTTATGTTTTTTATTCCTTGAAAGGGGAAATGTCAAATTTAACCAATAACTAATACAATACCTATCCAGTTTTCACCAGTATTGTGATAAATACCATTATGTTTTTCCAACTGGACTCATATAACAAACCTGTAGCTTTATAAAGGAGTCGAAATAATTGAATTAGTATAATAACACAGTTTGCTGCTCGAATGTAGGAAGTGTAGATAAGAAGAGTATGAGTGTAAATGTGTGTTGGGGCGTGTTGCAGGGCGAGATAGCGCACCGGCGCGGGCTGTTCCCGGCCTCGTACGTGACGGCGTACCACCAGTCATAGTGCGCGCGCGCCGCTCGCCCTTGCCTCTCTACGCCGCTCGCTCGCGCGCACCGCCCGACAATGATCACACTCGCCTACCTACTATCATATCAATAACTCGAACACAACGAACATTCGCCAAGTAAAGCTACTACATGAAAACGTTATAGTTTTCTCGGTTTTACTACACATTACGTATCCTCGTATCTTATGCGATTTTAAATTATCACTAGCTAGAGTTATTGAGTAAGGCACCAAGTGTCATCAATGTCTCGCTCGGATGATGTTTGATTTTTATATAATGTTTTGACGAGTATATGGTGCTTCGTGTTCACAGCCGATTACGATGATTTTAATATAATAATTTATAACAATAATCGATGGTCGTAATCGTTAATGTCCATTTTACTCGCGAGTTGAAACTGCCTTGATTTTTGCAATACTGTAAGATGTAATTTGGTAGTACAAAAGTTTTTGTGTCGTGTTTCATTGTATTCATTGTTCTGTGACGAATTTATTATTGTCCTCTCATTTTATATTGTGACGATCGCTGGATGAGAGTGAATATTTTATCCTCGAAAACGTGCCAGAATGTTATTTGTAGTTTTTTTGAAATATATTTTTAGTAATAAAAGGTGAAAGGGATCAAATCAGTGCATACTGACTGCTCCCCACAAGTATATAGATTTTCTTATTTGATGTGATTTTTAAAGTATGACCATTATTTATCCCTGTATTAGTCTTTAATGCTCATTATTAAAATATTTACCATTTATACGTTAGTTAAGTGATAATTTTAAGTTCGATTTACATGTATTTTGATCTTGGTTTTTTATATTGGTATACAACAGTGTATAATCTGGTACAGTAATGATGTAGAATGTGAATCTGTAGTCCTCCAAAAGCTTAGCTCTCGTTGGGTTAGTCAGCTGGACAGCGGATTGTGTTGCGCACAAGTTACAAAACCACGGACATAGATAACTCTGGAATTATTTTATATATCGACGATGTTTTGTATGAACGGATGTATATTGAACGAGGTATTTTATATAACGATATATGTATGTATGTAACACCACGCTTTTTGATAGCTTTTGACGTATTAGTTTGATTCGTTACCTGTACGTATTTTACCATTTACCGATCGTAATGAAGGCAGATGTCTAATATGTTTAACGTAATCCAATGTTGGTAGTAAGGCGGCGTGGTCGACAGCGACTACGGCACTATTCGGAGTAACGTAACATCGCGCACCGTGGCACTCGCAGTGTCATTGTACTTAGTTAGCGTTTAACATTTAGTCAAGACTTGAAATTAATAAAACTTTGAGTGATCGTTGATCCAATGTAGATATTTATTTTTGTTATTGTATTGTACCCGAAATTACTATATTTATGGAAACATGAACTCGTTAGGCAGATGAATCAGTAGCGTAAGCAGACATGTAATGTAAGAACATTTCACCGTGCGTGTAACTGTATCGTTTAAACAAATTCCCTTTCATCGAAGCATTTAAACTGTGTGTAATTATAGTGTAAGTGTGGTACGGCTCCGTGTGTAACGTGCTCGCTCTGAGTGGTCCACTGAGGATCTAGTACGAGTTGGTTTTATATTTAACGAAATCGGAACATTACCGCGTTCGGCGCTCTCATTGGTTGGTTCGTTGGAGCCGGCCAATCAGGTCGCCGAACGCGGTCTCGTTTCGGTTACTTTAAACGCGGAACTAACTCGTCCTAAGCCATCAGTCGAACGATTGTGTGCCGGACTCGGCCCAAACATAATGCCCCTAAATTGTGCTTGTAGCTATAGTGACAAGTAAGTGCATAAAGGCAAGTTTCAATAAATCGGAAGTGCTATAATCTATAATAATCAAATATTTAAATAATTTAAGTTATGATTCTCCAATATTGTGGAAGATGTATAATATTTTTTACTAATAAATTTAATATTATATTTTCTAGTTTTATTTTTGGTGCCTTTAATGATAAAGTTGGGTCAACAATTTATAATAATTTATTTTATAAATAATAACATCACAATTTGTAACAATTACATTACTATAAAGCTACATCTAGAACACTAACAGTAAGTTGCGGGCACACTGCAGCACATGATTCAAAGGAGATCATCATTTTTGTACAATTATCAAGGTGATTCATATTATATGTACTGCAGTGTCTCCGTATTATTGCAGTAACGATTACATTGCATTGTGGCTTCACATCAATCACAGTACTCATTTGTTTGAAGTATGATTCGTTTAATCTTAGGTATACATGCATAATAAATTGGGATGTGTTCCTAGTCTTAGTTAAAAATTGTTTAATTTATTAAGAAAATAATCACATTTTTATTGATTTCATGGCGTAAAAATAAGAAAAAATTATAGAATTAATGTATATAGTTTGAAAATATCCGAATTGCAGACCATACTACCAGCAAGTGTGTGACATGTCATACATAGTTTTAATTATTTTTATTGCATTCATGCCAGCTAACCCCGTATATTGTTCACCTGATGAAAATAGGACGAATTCATCAGCTGGCAGTTTGACCTCAGATTAACAAACGCATACTGTCGTCAATACTAACTTATTATTCATTTTACTTAACATAAGGCCAGTTTCACAAGATCTTAAAAAATATACATAATTGATAAATAGTTTATATAGTATTGCATTGATTTGCATTTTGCATTATCACCAGGGAACCAGGATAAGTATATTTCTTATATCCACCAGAATAGGGCTCAATATATCTCTAAAAAACGGACACTGGCCGCAAGAATTGACGACAAATCAATAAAAAAAACTTAAATGTGATTTGTGTTCGATCTTTTTTGTACCATAAGTGAGACATATTAAGAAATATTTTTGTTTATTCTGCACACATATACTCTTACATAGTTATAGCACCTTTGGCAGCAATAAATACATTATTTTGTAGAATTATTATATGCAATATTGTATTACAATGTACCTATTTGTGCAAGCTCCGATGATCTTATTCTATGGCCTTGAAAAACATGATCGTTGTGCAAAAAGCATTTCCTAAATAAACAAATCAAAAATAAATAATAACAAAAATATACTTTTGCTAGAAACAACAGGCATTTTCCTATGTAAATCTTTTAAACTTAATAATTTATTCTCTGACTTTAAGAAGCCAGATAAATATTATACATTTATCTCGCTTGAGCCATAATATATTAGCAATTGTATCTCACTAAACAATAGTCTCTTAATAGAGACCAAAATAAATAAAAATGTACACAAGTTTAATGTACTTAATGTAGGTAAATACATGATGTATCGAAATGATCTCAAAGATTTATTTATTATTTTAATCAGGTATAAAAAAAATTGAACCTTACCAAAGTTTCGAATTTGTCTTAGTTGACTTTTAGTATTTTTATGCTTTACTTTAATTCATTTTATTTTTCATAGTAAGTATGTAAAGTTGTATGTTATGATTACATATGACAGTTTAATATAGATTTTCAAATGATTTGGTTAAATATTATTGTTCTAGACACAGGTAACTAGGTTGCTAGCTGAGAGCTAGCACCACGACCATACCCAAGACTTAACAAGCTAAGTAGTCAGGAACTGAGGTATAAGAACGTAGCCAGATTTGAAGGTGACATTTAAGTACATGTTAAGTACTTTGTCATAAGTTTTAAACTACTATCAGTGGCACAAAGAGCTTAAAAGTTGGCAAATGGTGAACAGTAACCATGCCGAACTCGATGATGCTATAAACCCGCAAATATAATAATTTTTGCTCAATAGTTGTATTTATACCAGTTTTTTTTTTCGTGACAAAAACTTCTATATAAACATGTTATCTTGAAGTTTGGAGTAGTAAAAAAAGAATATTTATTCCATAGGTTCAAATCATAACTAGCTAATCAAACCTGGCTACGTTTTCAAATCATATTAAAACTAAAACGTATGTCCCCCTATAGCCAACATGATGTTCTCGAAGGCTATCCAGTTGATGAGCGCCCAGGGTCCCAGCCTCATCCAGAGTGGCAGGAAACCTTTGTACATGGACAGGATGCCTTCATTCTTGATGGACTGCTGCAGACAATCTATCATACCTCGGTACGATAAGCCCCTGGAAATTGAGAAAATTGTAAGTATATCATATTGTTATTTTCATACTAGCTTTTACCCGCGGCTTCGCTCGCGTCACAAAAGGATAAAAAGTAGCATATGTGACATATACCAATACATACAGCGCCATCTATACCATTACTTTTGTTTTCCCTCGGGAATATGAAATTTTTGCGGGATAAAAAGTACCCTATTATTTAAACCGGACTTTACGTCTGCAAAAATTCAAAGCAATCGGTTTAGTAGTTACGGCGTGAAGGCGGAACAAACAAACAAACTCACTTTCCGATTTATAATATTAGTAAGGATTTGCTACAATATCGCATTGGGTTTAGCCTGTAAGGATAGTTGTATGTTATGAGTAAATAAATAAATAAAATATTTTTAATTTAAGATGAAGACCTAATTAAAGTATTACAACTAGGTCATCATCGAAGGTCATAGAACGTCTACTGCTGAACAAAATTCAATACAGAGAGGCAGTACAAAATGCCTTTAAACAATATATTGCCTCCCGTCCAGCTGATTTCTTTATGAAAGGCATCAATAAACTGCCACTGCCACACTGCGTTGGCAAAGATGCATTGCTTGCGTGGGTGATTACTTTAATTCATCATATCAGCCATAGAACATCCACTGCTGAACATAGGCCTCTCCCAATGACTTCCAGACTAATTAGAAGCGACCTACATCCAGATGTTCCCTGAGACTCACAAGGAAGATTACCTAATTAAAGTCACAGGACTCGCAGACCGACTAGCTGTAATTAGATCATCTGTCTACCTTGTAGGTGGCCATCCAGCGCTGCATTTACAGCTACGTTGTTTTTATTCAAGAATCTTTGTATTAGGTACTATGAAACCAACGTCACTAATTATGAGGACTAATAGTCTACAATCGTAACTTTATGGTGTGAACTTACTAAGTAGTAATCAGGTCTCTTGAACAATCCTAATTAAACTGTTTATGCCGCGTTAAGTGCAATCATCGCACCACTTACGCCATCTTTTTCGTTAGTGTAGAAACTAACGACAGTCCCATAATTTTATTTAACCTGACTACTTAAATTCATGGGAAAATTCCCACAAAATTCTCTAAAAAAAAATTATAAAGATTAATGCATCGTTACTCTAAAAAAGACGCAACCGAAATACAACTGCAACACAGACTTACGCGTGTTCAAAAATAGAACAGTCGAGTTTGATTGGCGCGTTCAGTTCAATACTCTAAAATCATTCGAGTGTGCACCGCGTCCTGCGAGTGCGACTTTGACCTCGTTCCTGTGACCTCGACCGCGTACCTACGCTCACAACCTATTCACATCACCGTGATATAAATAGCTAGCCAAAACAACCATTTGGAATTTCAGTTTAGTAGCAAAATTATCGGTGGTTTGAGCAAATAAACAACAATGTTTGTATGTCAGCTGTTTTGGTGATATTCGTGCACACAATGTTAGAATTTAATGGAATATTAAGGACATTGCGTAATATTTCCGCAGTTCTATCACACGGTTATTTAATATTTACCTCTACTGATAAGAATGAACAAACCTTTTTCAAGAAACGTACCTATGTTTTTTATATCGTAACCTTATTTTTATCTATGAGGCAATGACATTTAGCATATGATAATGAACGCCTACAAGCATGGCTTAGTATGTGAGCGTTGGTAGTTAATGCTTTGCAAATAAAAATATTGCGAGTTTTTGCCAACAACTCAAGGGGAAATAATGGTACAAAAAGTTGTAGTACGAACAAACAGATGTTACTATGTAAAATAATTATATCTATGACTAATGTGACTGCTTAGAACATTATTCAGTTAACACAGAGCTAAATATAAAAACAATGTACTATTTTCATGACCCATAATTCATTAAGAATGTTAATATGAATAATGCAATTTCAAATATTCATAAAACAGACTTCCAACGACGATATGATATGACTCAATTGTGTAGACAACGTTGACGCATAACTGAACTTTAGACACCGTAATTAATTTGTTAGGCAGTCAAGTATAATAAGGTCATAAAAACATTGTTCGTTATAAAAATAACTAAGAAGATTAGCTTTAATGACACGGAGTATCTATGTAAATAAAGCAAAAGAATTGTATCATTAGTTAGTAGATGCAAAAAGACACAAAAGCTCAGAATAAAAATGTTCAAATCTATACCAACATTTAAAAATAACCTTGAAAAAGACATAACATTCTCTTTAAACACCATGTAAAATAATTTAAAGAGTGTAACAGCAGAGTTACGCTCCGTTATGAAGTATTGATTGCTTTTTACGAAGCCCTGCGTCCCTCACCCCATGTTTTGGCGAGGCAGTCGGGATCAAAGCCAAACTGTGAGTGACGGTCCCTAAATTGGTTTTAATGAAACCTAACGATTGTCTAGCCAGTCACTGACTAATTGTTTCGATTCATATATTATGTAGATGGCATAGCATGGCTTTTGATAGGTAATTTGGTGTTTCTGTGCACGTTATCCGTCAAAAATATCGAAATTGTATAAGAAAAGTCCAGAAACAAAATATTACGTGAACAAAAGTATATTTATATAAAAAAAAAATATTGCTTAAACTGTTAATCACTGCTATTGTTTGTGTTATTGAAGTTTAAACCTTTATTTCTGCGGTGGTGTGTGGTCCATGTGAAACCTTTTAAGTTTCAACGCCGTATGAAATACGAAGGGTATTATTTCACGGGTGTAATATTTAATTGGTTTTCTGTCATAATCTAGGGAGCATTAATGACGGAGTTATATGATTTAGGGGTTTTTTCAATATATCTTAAATGGGAATGGAAGCCAATGAATGCAAGTGGCTAGTTGTCGTTCGATGTGGAGGACTAAGAGGAAAGCCTTTGTTCAGCAGTAGACGTCTTCCGGCTGATGATGATGGTCTTAGGAACAACAGAATGAATTACCTTCCATCAGGTCCCACGGGTTGGTTCATAAGCCTGGTCTTAAGTACGTCAGCTGGTGTGCCAAGTACTGCAGCCACGAAGCCAGCAGTGAATGCAGCAGCGCCATGAACCAAGGCATTGTCCGCCATAGCAAATTCACGCATTAAGAACTGTTTGGTGTAATCGTACGCTGCTAAGTCACCCATGTTCACGAGGGCAGCGCGTTGCACGTTGGGCACAGCTCCTAAAATGACATTTATTAGGTCATTAGTCTAAAAAATAAAGTTTCGTAGTTTGCCCTCCCACTTAAATTCTTTTACAAACATTGAAATATTTGTATAATAATTATCGTGAGACATACTAAATTAAGTAAAAACGCGGGTTACTCACGTGAATATACTGAGAAAAGCTCTACTAGTTTCGAACCACAGACAGTGAGCTGCGCGACGTCGCCGCGACCGCGCACGCTGCTCATGAGGAAGAACCCCTCTGTGGTTCGAAACTAGTAGAGCTTTTCTCAGTATATTCACGTGAATAACCCGCATTTTTACTTAATTGAAATATTTGTTTTGTATTGGATGTATTCTTGTAAGGTTGAGTTTTACCACTCCCATTTAGCACAATTTTACCACTGCTCTCAATATTCGTGCTCAACAAATATGAAGCCCATCAAAATACCTAATAGATATATAAAGAAAATCTATTACATTTTTATTGAACGTGCCCGTTCCAATTTCAGATTATGACGGGGGATTTTGGAGAAAGACGAGAATTCGATACGTTAGCAGAATTAATCTAGTACAAAAGTTTATAGGCCTATTCAAATAGTTGTATAGAGCAAAAAAATTACTTTGTTCGGTCCAAAATGGTGAATTGATTATTGTGTGTCTAGTAATTAATGTTAGCTACGGTGGCCCCTTATCATTAGTTGTGTTTACAACCAAACTATTATGTTCGAATTCGAAGCCATTATTCGCTACTCGTTTACGTTTCTAATAACTTTTATGATTATATTATCCTTTTACTATGCTGACATGGCCTATTCAATAGGGCTTTAACCAATGGCCCTATTGGTTAAAGCCCCTAAAATAAAATAGATTAAAAATAATTCTTTACTAATAAATCGTAACGTTAAGTATGCTGCTTTAATTTTTGTTGTTTATTAAATTGAGTAGGTACCTGGTTGACCAAACTTTGCTAGGTGTTTTTCTAGTAAGAAACCTAGCTAGATCGATTTATCACTCCCGAAACATACTCAATACAAAACTTCAACAAAATCATTGGAGCCGTTTCCGAGATCGCTGATACATATACAAGAATTGCTCGTTTAAAGGTATTAGATAAGATTTGGTCAAAATCTATGATGCTCATGCTCATCCCCAATCACATCCAAAGCGCCAAAAGTCAGTAAAGCACTTGTAACTGCGACATGCGACTGTCCATGGGTGGGCCTAATTGCTCAACTGCGCAGTGTTGCATTTGTGATCCGTGTGCTAGTTTGCTCCCCATTTCTTCCATAAAATATGATTAAAACCATTAAGACTAAACAAAAATTTACAGGTATAATTTTAAACCTAGTTTTACTTACCTCTCCAAAAGCCTCTAAGCCCAGCTTCTTTATACAGCATCTTGTAACAATCCCTGCAGTTGGAGAACCGTTTAGGCTTGCCCTGCAAGACCCGGCGGCCTTCAGCTTGCATCTGTACTTTCACGAGGTCTGTGGGAGACGCGATCAGCTGCGCCAATGCCCCTGCCGCTAACCCACCTGCCGAACTTCGTGATAATTATGTTTTGTTGTTGCAAGTCTGTTTATTATTTGTATTTTTTTAATAATATTTTTTATTGTAATTAATAGTATTCATATCCGCAGTATAACTTTCGATAAGTTGATACTTAAACTGAAATTTTCTAAAACACATTTAGCCTATGCTGAAAGGAAAAATGAAGAATTCATTTTGATATTGTTTAAATGAAATATCATCCCCTAAATTTATTCACACAAAAGTAGTCTCTAAACATCGGAAATAAGGTATATAATGTAGTTAGTCGAGAGCGGTCACCGGTGACCGCTTGGGGATTTAGGGGTACCATTTATTCAATAGGTTAAGCTGCCTGTATATAATTTATCCGCCAGAGGCTTATTGAGAGTTACTAATGCACCTCTAAATAGCACTACCTCCTATTTACACATTAAAATATCTCCAGAGAAATTATATAGACGGTTGCACTATAGAATTTCTCAGTTATCGGATATCCTCAGCTATACAGACAGTCTGATTATTACAAGTCTACTACTGAGCCCCTTTATGTCGATACAAGGCCGTTGTGCAAAGCCACGGATGGCAACGTTAATGAAAGCGGATCGGCTTAGTCGAACGTAATACGATGAGAACTAAGACTTTCCAATGAATATTCTATTTCTTGAATAAGAAGATTATAAAGACGGTTGTATTAATATTCAGCCTTTAAGCTTTGTTATTAAAAGTTCCGTTTTATTGATTAGTTTGAATAAAAGTTCAAGACCTCTTAAACTTCCAGCAAATTCAAACAGGTCTTTATTATTAATTCTTCAATTTGCGTTTTTTCTTCAGAACTCATTCGGTATCATTTCAAGTAGATGTTAAGTTGATTGATGAAACCTAAGACACTAGTCTTATTGTTTTTGACAAAGCCACCAAATGAAATACCACGTTAAAACTAAAAAAAAAAAATACAATTCTCTCACCCACGGAAGCGATTCCAAGTGACACTTTTCCGTGTTCATCTTTGAAGTGGTTTCTGAACTGCTCGTAGAAGATGAGTCGGCAGCCTGAGTAGATAGCATGGCGTTGAAACATGGGCATCAGGCCGGTCCAGAGCTTGGTAACACCTTCCTGCTTCGCTATACCAACCGCTGTTTTGATCATGCCGTGGTTTTCCAACTGTTGAGGGCGAAATAATATTAGAAGTATGCCTGAATCCCTTAATCAAAAATAATGAAATTGTGTTCTGATTGAAGTTTTTTCTATGGGATAAGCCGGTAAACAAGCAGACGGATCACCTGATGGTAAGCAATCGGCGTCGCCTATGGACACCCCGAGCGACCGAAGAGGCGTTACAAGTGCGTTACCAGTCTTTTAGGGATTAGGAATTTGAAGATTGTTGTGGTTCAGAGATTGGGGATAATTGGGCCTCCGGTTACCTCACTCATACGAAACACAACGCAAGTATTGTTTTACGTTGTTCACCTGATTGAAAGCAATAAGGCCGTGGTATCACTCCGGTCGAGCCTGCCCATTCGTGCCGAAGCATGGGTCTCCCACACTCACTACATAAGTACCGAAATCATACAAACATTGTCGCAATAATTGTGAAAAGTTGGATTATACAGTCCACTTTTAACTACTAGTCCAATAGAGTAATCAAATCTCTGTCTATAAGTACCTACCCTGTATCAACATATCCTACATATTAAAAGTTTTATAATAGGTTCAAACTGCGTACACATCTAACAAACTCGTTAAAACTAAAATCGATAGCGAGAACGCGGGAGGCTCATGTTCAGACTTTCAATAAGTTAAAGTACTTAAACATTGATATGTCTTTCAAATACTAGAAAATAATTTATCCGTTTCGAAATTCGAAGGAATGCAAGAAAAATAGACACGATTTGTAAAGAAAGAAAGAAAAACATTTATTCAGCACCAGGCAGCATAAATAAAATATAAAAAAGACAATAAAGGTGTGGCAGTGGAAGTAATAAAAACATTGAGTTGAAAAATTAAAACAGAAGAATTAGAAGAGAGACGCTGACAACATGCCTATGCTAAAAGGGTCACCCACTAAGTGTAAGCCAGGCATACAAGTCACCCAGTATGTTCAGTGTTATGTTGCAGATAGGAATATCATATTCCATTACCCAGAGATGGCAATGTAGTGATATTCAGTTAGGTCACAGCCTATGCGGATCCCTTAAAGGGCAAAGGCCCTGTTTGGGGCCATGTCAAAGTGAACTAGTACCTACCTATAGTATGTAGTTTTTAAGTCGGTTGTCGACTATTGAAATCATAGTTCATGACATTATTTTCAATACTATACTAGCCTTTATAATCGTCGTTAATAGCCCAATAAGCTACTTGTGAATACAATTATTATTCATCAGACTCGTAGACAAACTACCTATATGTCTCTGTGTCTAATTACACATGCACCCATTGATATCACCCACACCCTTCAACCAAGAGCATGATGCTTCGAATGAGGATTAATGCCCGCTGCAGGGGAGTAACGTGTGTAGTGGTTGGTGGTCGAGGCATGCACGTACATACATACTTATGTTCATTGTTCATACAGGGGAACAGTACACATAAGCATAGCTACGTAATAAATGCATAACTCCATGATGTCTATTAATGGTGACGTAACCAGATTTGTATTTTATTAAAAGTTAATCTTTAGGTGTATTTTTAAAGAGTGTTTGAGTGTTTTTGTTTTTCTTGCATGTCGCCATAGAGCGGTGTGAGATAGGTTCCCAGTTAGGAGGCTGGAGACTTGTGATCTAAGTCATATAGGCTACTTCTTTTCCTTTTACTATGCAGGTGAAGCCACTGGCGCAATGTCTAAGTACCTACTCATAATTTTCAAGTACGTAAAGTGCCGTAGATCCTTTATGCTATTCATAAACATATCTACAACGTTACCATTTACAAATTACAATATTATCGTAAAACACGATATATTTAAAAGTCGCTGTTCGCGTTCTGGCCGACCTTTGCTAATCTAATAGGCATGGATTTTCCGTCCGTTTTCTACTTAATCCACTTCACTTCAGGATTATGACGTCATTGTATTATATGAGAGCCTATTGACTTTGGCTTAACTTCATTAGTAAAGTGCTTTATTTTATGGTTGACTAGCAAATCCACTAACAGCTTTTTGAAATTGCGAGTTTTACTTCAATTTAGTACCTATAATAAGTGTCTAAGGACACTTTAAATGCATAAGTGAGTAGATGAATAAATTAAATAAGTCCCCGGTGAGTTAGACAGAATACCTACAGTAACGCAATCGGAACCCTTTTCTTCGGAATGACACCTTTGCAATGTTTGTAAGAACGTTTATTAACAAGAATTGAGACAGAAGGTTGTTCAAGTTATGGTATCCATGCATAGGTATTCTATTTGTTAAAACCGATATAGAACACTAAAATACGATAACGGACTCATTTCTACTGTGATAAATTAATTAAAGATATTTGTGAATCTTACCTTGTATCCATGTTTGGCGGCAGCAACCTCTGATTGGATCTGTAGTCTTGTCTTCGTCAAATCAAATGGGTATGTTGCTGTAAAGAAATAATAATTATATTAATGTCTTAATTAAAGGAAATCCATTACGTAATAAAAGCAAATAATTGGAAAATAATATATCATGGTTATTATCATTAAACTATAGAAAGGAAACTCATTATTTAAATATTTTCTACCCTTGGCAAATTGTAAATAAAATGGTCGAACGGCACTCAAATGAAAACAAAGCAATCGTTTTAATTTATTTATTTACTCGTCGACATTTCCTGGATTATTAATTTACATTCAATTACAATTCTGTAGAATTGAATTTAATACAATAACAGCAGTGACTCATTAATCTATATATATAAAATTCAAAGGTGATTGACTGACTGACTGACTGACATAGTGATCTATCAACGCACAGCCCAAACCGCTAGATAGATTGGGCTAAAATTTGGAATACAGATAGATGTTATGACGTAGGCATCCGCTAAGAAAGGATTTTAATAATTTCCATCCCCAAGGGGGTAAAAAAGGGGATGAAAGTTTGTATGAAACTTTGTCACTTTTAAACCGATCAGGTTTAAATTTGGCATGCAGATAGATGTTATGACGTAAGCATCCGCTGTGAAAGGATTTTGATAATTTCCACCCCCAAGGTGGTAAAATAGGGGATGAAAGTTTGTATGAGACTTTGTCAGTTTTAAATCGATCGGGTTCAAATTTGGCATGCAGATAGATGTTATGACGTAGGCATCCGCTGTAAAAGGATTTTGATAATTTCCACCCCCAAGGGGGTAAAGTAGGGGATGAAAGTTTGTTTGTATGGGACTTTGTCAGTTTTAAACCGATCGGGTTGAAATTTGACATGCAGATAGATGTTATGACGTAGTAATCCGCTGTGAAAGGATTTTGATAATTTCCACCCCCAAGGGGGTAAAATAAGGGATGAAAGTTTGTATGAGACTTTGTCAGTTTTAAATCGATCGGATTGAAATTTGACATGCAGATAGATGTTATGACATAGGCATCTGCTGTGAAAGGATTTTAATAATTTTCACCCCCAAGGGGGTAAAATAGGGGATGAAAGTTTATATGAGGCTTTGTCAGTTTTAAACCGATCGGGTTGAAATTTGGCATGCAGATAGATGTTATCACGTAGGCATTCGCTGTGAAAGGATTTTGATAAATTCCACCCCTAAAGGGATAAAATAGGGAATGAGAGTTTGTATAAATCTTCTTAGCCATTGAATTTAGAATCATTGAATCTTTTTGAATTACATTCGGTAAAACGATGATTTGGGACCTGGGTAACGTTTGATAGTTTTTATCACAGATGTCCCACGGGAACGGGAACTATGCGTTAATGCCCCAGGACTCTCTAACTCTTAACCACTGAACTTATTTTAGAGAGATTCGGTCCAACAATAGTAGATAGAATAGTTTTTATTACTCAAACCTTACGTGATCGGGCACTGTACTGGTAAGATCCCTGCGGGATTATTTATTTATTGAAACTACGATAAATCATTTCAAAATAGGTAAATCTTATTTGGGCACTGAATTGATTCTGTCAGAAGTCATTAATCTACGCGGACGAAGTCGCGGGCAACAGCTAGTTACTTTATATTTTGTACTTTTGTAGCTGTATTAGATTACAGATTGCTAAAGTATTTCAAAACATTAAATGACTCAAGTGTACCTTTTAAAGTTTTAATAACTTATGTGTGTAGAGACTACTTTTGTAAGAACAAATTTAGGGGATGATTTTCTACGGGTTAATAAGGGAGATCCTTCAAAACACTCCAAGCCTTTAAAAATATTTGCAAGTGTACACATTGTCAGCATATAAAGGGGCACCATATCTTCTAAACAGATCAACTTTCATGAGCATCTACTGTACAATATCTATTACGGGACATTCCTATGGGATCTATGTGTGCTTACAGATTTTTAGTATACTTTTAGATATCTGTGTGCCTGGTCACGGCATCACGCGTGAATGGCTGGATCGATTTCACTAATTGTTTTTTGTTGTATTTGTTATTATCAGGAGAAGGTTCTTAAGACAGAAAAAAATCTGAAAATCCTACGGGAACGGGAGAAAACGGGATTGCGCGTACGAAGTCGTGGGCAGAAGCTAGTAAGTCTATATTTATGTATTTTATAATAGTGAATTATCAAATTAAAAAGAAAGAAAACACTTCCATTAATATTTTTCGGTCTTACACGATATTAATCATTTTAAATCCTTTCATTAACCGGCACTAGAAAATACAGTCACGCTTTCCAATTCAAGAGGCTTTTCTGATTAAAATCATTATCAGTAGAGCATTAGCACCACTTGAAGCGCTCTTTAGAAGGTATAAACTCTACTTGAATGTAAAAAGCTTTTGAATTTTAACGACATGAAACACCAAGGGTTATTCTATTATTCAGGAGTTCTGAGCGTAAAGGGCGTTGCTAGGATTCAAGTTCAACTGTGCATGGGAATCCTTGTGATGTCTCGGAAGGGATAAAATAAGGGTCTGTTTATACCGGATGCCGGTATCCGGTTTTAATTCCGTTTATCGTGCTGTGACCATCATTCGAATTAGAAATTAGGTAAGCGGTTGTGTTGTAGACTTAATCATTGTTTGGATTATTCGATTTCTGATTTCATTTACTGAACGACTTTACTAAATAGCAGTTTAATACTGGACATTTAGATACGTTACTAAAGAAGATGTGTTTTTATTTTTACTTAATATTTCTAGATTTCCACTTGAAAATTAAGGGAGTGTCATATTCTTCTTCTTCAATAAATTAGGTATTTAAGGAGTTTTTAACTCCAAACCCAAATGAAGTAAGTTTAAAAACGATGTGATAATTTATTTTTTTATCTCCTGTTCTATTATATTTAGATTAATAATGTACCATACTGAGATATCGTGTATACCTGCTTCAGCGGCCCAGGAGCCGAGCACAGCGACACCGTACCGCGCGCCGACGGAATCCGTCAGCGAGTGGACTGGGTGGTCGGCGTTGCGTAGCACTGGCATTGTTTATGGTTGATTGGTTCTCACCGCACTTTGTCACCGGATCTGTTCATAATACCTGCAAAAAAACATTGTTGTGTTAGTGTGATTATAACTTTAAATAATAGTACTTACTTAAGATTTTTTTAAATATATCTCTCTGTCTTTCTTAAAGCTTAAAACTCAAGACAGATCGCGATGTAGGAACTTTTATGGATGCCCTCTGCCCCATTAACATAGGACATTCATTATAAGAAGATATCTTTGCTCTGCACAACATTTTGTTATGTTGGAACCTAGGTAGTACAACCTAATTTGATTTTTTTATTTTAAAAATGCATAAGGTCATCACACTTTTAAGAGCTGAAGCAGTTAATGATACCTAACTAACAGCTAGTTAAGTAGCTATTCATTCAGCTTTTTATAGTCTGTGGCAAGAAAAAATGGCGCGTTCCAGATGTACGCCATCTGCTATCTAGTTCCATATTGTGCGCCTAAAGCACTATAACATGTGGATATGCGTCCTGCGGCTTGATTAATGAGAGTAATAGACGTCGTAATATAGTCAGTAAATGAATAATAAAATGTCTAGCGTATAGAACGTACTTACGAAAGGCGAATATCTGTTCCATTATTTAAACTAACTCCAAAAGTTTTGTCAAAGATAAACGTGTAATTTTGAGTTACTAAATCTACAAACCATTTTTTGTTTTACGATATAACGATACACGTACTTAATGGTTTTTAGTTCCTTTTTAAATAATGTTTAATTAATGTTGTAGTAGTGTTTTAAGGGGGCATTCCACTTTGCGCACCTAAATGAAGCGCACCCAGACGAAGCGCACCTAAAGTATTCCACTTTGCGCACCTGTAGGTGCGCTTAAAATAAAAATTTTAAATAAATAGTTTTTCTATTCCACGAAGCGCACCTACGAATATCACTCGCGTAGTGCGGAGACTAAGAAATAAAAATATCGATATAAGAACATATTTATTATTTAAAAGACTCTGCTGCCTGCGCAAGCGTATGGGCAGCCACTTCAGTTGCATCCTATGTGCAGAAATATGATCATATTTACGTAAGTTGAAAACGAATCGAATGCAGTTATTTAGAAGTCGGTCTAACTTATTGAGTAGATCTGCATTCAGGTCGTAATAACAGACATCAGCGTAATCAATAATCAGGAAAATCAAGGTCTGCACAAGCTGCGTCTTCACAGAGGACGGAAGAAAGTTCCTCAGACGATACAGAGCCCGCAACGATCCAGTCACCCTTTGGCAAACACTTGTGACCTGAGCACGCCAGCTCAATGTACTATCAATAATCAGGCCCAGATCCTTCACGTCCCGACTGAACGGAACAGTCACACCATTATACGAGATAGGGGGCAGTGCTGCACCGTCAATCGATCCAAGATTCCGAGAGCTACCTATGATGATGGCCTGGCACTTGTTTGGGTTTACAGCTATGCCAAACCTCTCTGACCAATTTTGAACAGCTGTTAGATCACTATTAAGTTTACTGATAGCACTGGGCAGATCGTCCACCACAGACTGACGGTACAGCTGCAAGTCGTCCGCATACAAATGGTACGCACACTGAAATTCAGGAGTGATAAGGTTGATAAAAATAGAGAAAAGAAGTGGAGAAAGGATGCCGCCCTGAGGAACGCCTGCCGTCAAGTCACACCAGTCAGAGAACTTCTCATCATACTGGACAGACTGCTGACGCTCCCGAAGGTATGAAGAGAACCATTCCAGTGATTTGCCAGAGATCGCAAGATGGGATAGGATTGCCAAAAGGATATCGTGACTGACCATATTAAACGCGTTAGAAAAATCAACCAATACCAAAAGCAAAAAATATTATATGCAAAACATAACATAACACCACGCCTCTTATCCCCGAAAGGGTAGGCAGAGGTGCACATTACGTCATTACGACTTAATGCCACTACAATGTAACACCCACTTTTCACTATTTTATGTTATGAGTCCCATGTAATAGGCGGTGAGCGTATTGCCATATACCGGGCATAATTCCAGACTCCGTGCAACTACAGACATTTTTTTTTAAAAACCCTGTCGTTTTTATTTACATGCACATACCTAATGAAATGCTTAAATGTGCCTTTGTAGTTATTTACAACGCCATGAAGTACAAAATAGAAGCTTATCGATTTATGAGTCTTATTACCACGCAATCGATCATCGCCTCACTCGACTCAAACTAATGGTTTGCTTTAATGAGTATGTCAGCGTGTTCGGAATAACTTCCATTTTTCATACATCCATGGCAATGAACTCCATGGCAATGCCTTCATGTAGTGTTGGAAGAAATTATTTTAATGCTTACTATGATTTCTTATTATGTATCTGCATACTTATAATATACACATAGGTAGTCTTAATTAATGAAGGAAATAATAAACAGCTATTAGACTACTAGGTACGTATTAATTTTAATACTGGAGGTCCGCCCGGCTTCTCAAAGTTCTCACGGATGCTATTTTCCGCATTTACCGCAGATTTATTGTTCACTAGCTTTTACCCGCGGCTTCGCGCGAGCGAAGACGTGTGACGCGAGTCACAAAAGGATAAAAAGTAGCCTATGTGACATATACCAATACACACAGCGCCATCTATACCAATACTTTTGTTTTTCCTCGGGAATATCAAATTTTTCCGGGTTAAAAAGTACCCTATTATTTAATCCGGACTTCTAACTTTACGTCTGCAAAAATTCAAAGCAATCGGTTTAGTAGTTACGGCGTAAAAGTGGAACAAACAAACGAACAAACTCACTTTCCCATTTATAATATAAGTAAGGATTAAAAATTAAAAATGTGACAAATACACTAGGTAAATACGTGTTTAATTTTCGTCCTCTATTGCCTGTACATATAGGTATTATGTATTCACAACGCAAAATGTATTTTGCATAAGTTTAATACCTAACCAATATTCCACATAAATAAATATAATTAAGTGTTAGCTTCCTAATGTATCTGATAGGAGTCGCGGAGAACCTAACGGGTAACCGGGGCTCCGGCTCGACGTGCAGGAGAAGGAACGGGGTGGTTTTTAGTCAGTAAGAGTCTGACACTCCCTCCCGCCTCACCCAGGCGGGGGCAGTAATTCGATGATTTTCCCCCCTTAAAAAAAAAAAAAAAAAAAATGTATCTGATAACTATGTAGGTAAGCATGACATAATCTTGTTTTGTAAACCAATTACGGTGCACTAATTAAAATAAACAAACATTTGTTATCTAACGGGTGGTGTAGGCGCCTATGTTTATTACTATGAGCTTGTTTATTGGACAGACGATTGACTATCAAAACAAAAGTATATATACCTATAGAGAGTAAATAATATATTAACACTACTATAATAGATACAGCAGCCATTAATTAATTATTGACAGCACGGTTGGCGCGGTGGCTAGACAATCAGCTGCCGCGCAACGTGTCGCCGGTTTAATTCCCGCACGGACCAACTCTATGTGATCTACAGATTGTTATTCTGGGTCTGGGTGTCATGTGTGTATGTGAGTTTGTATGTTTGTAAACGCACTCACGACACAAGAGAAAATCCTAGTGTGGGGCGACGTTTATATAAAAATAGAACACTTCATCGTTTTCACTTTTTTCAATATGTTTATCAATTATTTTTTGAAATCACGAATATAAACAACATTTCACAATAAATATAACTAAATTGATTCTGATGAAATTTGTTACACAGCAGTGCAATTAATCTTGGAGAAGACTATGTAATTAAAAAATCCAAAATTTGTCGAAGTCATTATTATACGCGGACGAAGTCGCGGGGAACAGCTGGTCAATTACAAATGTGCTACTCTTTCGGATGAAACTATTGTATTCAGCGGTATATGTATGTACCGCAATATACCAAGTATGGTATGGTATATACCAAGACTGGATTTAATACACCTGTTGCAATTTATCGCCCCTGCATATGGTGCCGTTAGGTCCTTTTTTTATTTTATTTTTTTGAGGGGGGAAAACCATCGAATTACTCCTCCCGTCTGAGTGGGGCGGAAAGGAGTGTCAGACTCTTACTGACTAAATACCACCCCGTTCCTTCTCCTGCACGTCAAACCGAAGCCCCGGTAACCCGTTAGGTTCTCCGCGGCTCCAATTAGGTAAGTCAAGAATGAAAATATAGGTACTTAAGAACATGTGAGACTAGAAATAGGTAAGACATTTTGACACTTTTTTTGTTGAGACTAGGTGTATCGATGTCTATTTTACGGTACACAACATACCCACCTACGTGAATTTAAATTCCAAAACATTTACAAAGCAATGTCGGCAGCAATCCATCAATGTAAATCAAATTGAGCTAACACAGGTCCATTCTGTGCAGAAACCATAAAGCTGACTTCTTGATAACGATAGCGTTTGTAGGCACGCTAGCAATAAACCATTATTACAAATTAAGTCATCAACGTTCATCAAGTTTAATGTCACCTTTATCACAATGTCGATAACGATCATTATTGATTTCAACTTTTATGACATACAATGGGGATGATAACAGGGTATGAAAATTAAAAATATAATTAGTCCGTAAGTTAGGTAATGAAAAAATATTAGACACGTATTTTTTTATTTTGTCGTATAATAAAACAATACTTAGATAAAACGAATCAAAGTTTAGGAGTGGGGGCTAAAACGTCATTCCTTAGTATAAAATGTACTGAGAAGTGACGTCACGCGACATTTCAAATCAATATATCTTCGAAACTATTCGTTTCTGTGAGAAAATAAAAAATACGTGTCTAATGTTTTTAAATAATCTATCAGACGGACATTAAAAGAAAAATTAGTCGTCTACCCCATTTGCAACTGGTTACAGATATTTTCTTTTATCAAAACGTAGTAAAAGTAGGCGCATAACTTCTGAACTACTCGATTAAATTGAATAATCCTTTTGATGTCGTATTCGTTAATGTCAGGACAATTCACAGGGAAATAGGTCTCGAATGGAGCTAAGGCGG